TCATGAGGAAGCATCCTGGCAAGAGCAGTCAGAACACAAGCAAGTACATAAACTGAAGTCAAGTCACTTGGGTAAATGAGGGAAGATATGAGAAGAAGAAACGGAAACGAGGTAGAGAGACTTCAAGCAACGGAAGTGGACAGAAGATGGTTTAGAAGAGGGACCACTCAAAGGTGAAGGCATTTGAAGCAAGGCTGGAGTGATAAGAAAACAGCCACAAAAAGGGAAACCGTCCAGGATGAGGGCATGTCATATTGAGTACAAGGGTTGCAATAACAACAACAACAACAACAATAATAATAATAATAAACATAGGTACTTGATGAGTTTGGAGTTCATTTGTTTTCTAATTGTGTGTAGCTGGAACATTGTGGGCAAGGCAGAGAGTTGTCAACATCTATGAGAAGACAGCCAAGGCTTAGGGCCAACTCGTTATACCATGAAGAGGATTCTAGATTGTACTTAAGGACAGAAAGTTGATATGAGAGTATGAGAGGGCTTTGAGTGAGCCAACCACAGTCATGGATATAGGCTCCAAATGAATGGATTTCTCAGTTACAGATGGAAAATAGCCAGGAATAAACAATGTGTTTAATATAATGTACATAGCTTCTTTCTTTTTAGCTACTTTATTCTCTCTCTCTCTCTCTCTCTCTCTCTGTGTGTGTGTGTGTGTGTGTGTGTGTGTGTGTGTTCATGCCACACAGTGCATGTGGAGGTTAGAGAACAACTTGCAGAGTCTATTCTGTCCTTCTACCATAAAACTCAGCAAGACTTGGCAACAAGTACCATTATCCACTGAGCCATACTTGTAACCTGACTTTTTCCTTGTTCCTCCCTAAACAATACAATACAGCAGCTACGTGCATACATTGCATTAGTTATCATAAGTAACCTAGAGATAATTTGAAATGTGAGCGGGGACACGTAGAGGTCCACTTTACAGAATGGATTTGCACACCTGCAGATTTGACTATCTACCAAGTACCCATGGACACAAAACCACAATTATATGTGACCTCGTGAAAATATAGACCTCTATGTCAGTTGCTTATAAAAGTGATCATATGGCATCTTGGTCCTGTTGTAGTCACTGCAACAAAATACCTGACGTGAGCAACTTAAGAGAGAGAAAAGGTTTGCTTTGTAGAGGTGTCACAATATCATGGCAGGGGGATGAAATGGAGCAGGGCTCACCTGTCTGTGTTGGAAGCAGAAAGACAGAATACCAGCACTACTGTACTTTCTTCTTTCTCTTTTAGCTTACCCAGCCTCTGCCCCATGTAATGGTGTCTTCCATATTCAGGATGGGTTTCTTCTCCTTCATTTATCCTCTTGGAGAAGGCCCTTGCAGACACAACCAGAGTGTGGCTTAGTAATCTCCGAGGTGTTCAATGCAAGCAGGCTGGCAGTCAAGACCATAGCCTTACATATCAGTAAGAGCAGAATGATTACTACAGAGAAATGTCAACTTAACATCAGCAAGACAGAGCAACACTGATCACAAAGACAAAAGGATAACTTAACCATGTTACTTGATTTAAAAACTTACCGATCAAGGGCTAAAGAGATGGCTCAGCAGTTAAGAGAACTTGTTACTTATCCCGAGGAGCCCAGGCTCAGTTCCTAGCACCTACGTTTTTCACTTCACGATCATCTGTAACTCCAGTTTCAAGGGACCTGACAACCACTTCCGGCTTCCTCAGGCACTGCGTGTACACCGTGCACATATGTACACACAGGCAAATCACCCATACACATAAAATAAAATTCAAATTTGAAAAGACATCCAGGCACAGACCAGATGGACTTCAAGGAACTTAAGACGCCTACAAATGTGGCAAAAAGCTCCTGCCAGAGGGAAACAACAGAACAGAGAGTCCAAGTGCTCTGGTTTCTAACAGAGGAGATGGCGAAGCGGTCCATGAGGACTTGAATCAAGTACGCTTTCCGAAACCTCAGAACTTACCAAAGGAACATTTAAAAATGCCGCTGGTAAATCTTCAGAACGGGGCTGGTGAGATGACAGGTCTTGGAGCAAAGGTTCTTGCACCAAGCCTAATGACTTGAGTTCCATATACAGGACTGACATGATAGACGGAGACAGCCACGTCCCACAAGCTGTCTTCTAATCTCCATACACATGCTGGAACACACATCTCTGCCCATATGCACACAGACAGAGACACAGACATGCGTAGACACACAAAAATAAGTAATAGTCACATTTTAATTGTGATGTCTTGGTTCTGTGTTATAAATCTAACCACTCTCATGTGCCTTTCATTCTAAATTTTTTAATGTATCATGATATATATATATGCATGTAGGAAAATGTGTTTGGCCTCTATGCCTGAGCTACTGTACTTTTGAAAAAAATCCATTTAAGCTTGAGTGAGGCCTCAGGAGGGTGTCAGTATATCAGGTCTCTGGTTAGTTTTTAATCTGTTCATTCGATAAAACATCTCTGTGTGTAGATTAAGTGATTTTTTTATGCCAAACTTAAGCAGAAAGATATATTTCGGGACTGCATTGAAATTGAACAGAATTATTAACAGAGTGTGATGCCTGGAATGAATAATACCCAACAGTAAGTGCAAAGTTTCACGATACAGTTTCCCAGATTCTACACACAAATACAAAAATGACGACACCAAGTCAGGTAAAAACACTTCCGATTTTAACTGAAGGCAAGCCCATTGTGAAGGACATGCTGTATTTGAATATATTTTTCCCTCTTAAGCAACTATCTTCTAATCCCACCAGATTTGTTCTGCTCAGACCACACAGAAAGACTAGTTCCTATTCATGATGTCAGAGAATAACGTTAATGAATGAAAAAATAACCAGGGCGATCCCAGATTACCGTTGACTAGAAACTTCTGTGCGCTCGGGAAGCTTAGTCCCGAACAAAAATGTTCTTGTGATGGATCATGGAGGAAATAACTTCCTTATTAAAGAAAATGGATCAAGAGCGTTTGGGGAGGAAGGAGTACAACAAAGTCGAATGAGTACAGAAAACTTCCTTACACATCAGAAGGGGAGTTAAGCTGTGAGGAGCCGGCTGTCACACTAGAGAGTCCAGCATGCTCACAGGAACGTGCCTCACTGATTCATGAGTTGGGAAAGATGCTGCTGAAGTCAATTTTGAGAACCTCAAAGGCTGATCTTCAACACAAGATGGCGTTTACGGCCTGGTGGCTCTCTGCCCAGGAAGAAACCTGCTTGGGGAACCTTCTCTAACTGTGTATGTGACATTTAGCAGGGAGCATTTCCTGTGTACAGTTCATTTACAGTCAGCTGTTACTCCGAATTCCCTGAAGGAATATCAGTGTTGTGCCCGACTCCCCACCCCCACCCCCCGTTTTGGCTAGAGAACAGGAGAAAAGGGACCGGGCTGGAGCCAGACTTTTGTACCAGTCTTTCACCATTAAGCCTTCCCTTCGATTCCAGGCATGCCTAATCCGTTAGGTCAATGCGTTTATAACTGAGTGTAAAGGTTCAGGTTTCTCTTCCAGAAATAGGGCGGGGGTGTTCAGCAGCTGCTAGGACTAGGGAGTGTCTAAGAGTTGGAAACCGCCTCAACACCGTCTAGCTACCTTTTACAATTGGGCAGTTGTGGGGGGGGCACCTCAAATAACTTGGGAAACGAAAACTCGAAAAATCACCCTTCCTTAAGCTTGGATCTAGACTGAGTGCTGAGGTGGGGACAGGTGTGCCACACCCTCCCCTATTTGCTGTAAGCAGAAACTGCCTTGCTGTGTCCCTTGTGTGGAAACCCGTTAATCAAGGCGATTCAAAGGCTGGGGAGGCAAGAAGGGAGGGGATGAGGTGGAGGGCGAAGAGAAGCCAGCCAGGAGCTAGCCGGTACTGTGACTATTATAGATGACATCATTGCTTCAAAGAGATGTGACCCTCCATTCCCCAGAGCTGTAGGCAAGCATATTTGGGAAGCAGCAGGAGTGAGGTTGCGGGGGCGGGGGGTGTTAATAGGTGGAAGTTGAGTGTGTGTCCATAACCCAGAGAGAAACCCAGACAGTAGAAAACCGAGGTGACAGCCAGCTAGCCAGACAAGAAGCCACCTCGGTTGGAGGGTGATTGCGCTGCGCTGGGCTCCTCCCCCTCTTCTCAGCGCGCCAGCCCTGGGAGGGGCACGTGGGTTTAGGGGTGGGGAATATGTACAGTCCAAGGGGGAGGGTCTGTAGCGACCAAAGCGGCAGAGAGCTGCCTGCGCATGTCAAGGCTAGCAACACATTCAGCCAGTGGGGAGAGGGTGGCCCTGGAGAGGGGCGGCTTGATCACCCAATCGCCCAGCAGCGGGGGCTCCGCAGGATCCAGGGGCGCGCCTCACGGAAGGGGGTCCCTCCATCTACCCACCCTCCACCTCTGAGATTACCAGCCCCACCGGAGGTCCCGCCTCTTTCTACGCCTGTAGGACCTCCCGGGAGCCCGGGCCGCTGTGTACAAGATTGAAGTGGAACAAATTCTGTAGCCCAGACGACGGCTGGAGTGGGGACACGCCCAGCTGGAGAAGCCCGCCCCGCCGTAGAAGCCCGAGATCCTGAGTCTCGGTGGATCGAAGTCGCTGTCCCTAGCGGAGGCGAGAGGTGAATCAACACTGACTCCATCCACAGGCCAGCATCCCCGCGCTGGCTGCGTGACTCCCTTCTCAGTTCACTTTGCTTCGGTTGCAAACGCCAAGAAGCAGAGGAGAGGTTGAAATTCCAAGCGTGGGGTGGGCGGGAAGGCTACTGTCCGTGGTGCTGAGCCAAGCCCGGAGACTCGCTCTAGCGAGGTGTCCTGAGCTGATTCCTACACTGGGCTCCAGATCCCACAGACCCCCTAGGAAGGGAACTTGACCTTTTCTTCCTCCTTCCGCTCAGAAGGTCCGCTCCCTTAGGGGCAGTTAATCCCTGAAGGTTTCCTCGAAAGAATCAGAGGGCTCAGTCTTTGACAAGAGATCCTCTCTGTTCAGCTCCAGAAACCACTTACGGGAAAAGATGCCTGCCTTCAACAGATTGCTTCCCTTAGCTTCTCTAATGCTCATCTACTGGGGTAAGTACAGCACCCTGCCCTGCAATGTGCAAATAACAGGCAGCGTGCTAACAATAATAACACTTAAGTGATGTCGCTGGTGACAAAAAGGAGCTCGTGTGGCTTCTCTCTGTGCATGTTTGCCAGACATGGAGATCCACATGCGCTCCCAGAGACCTGGGTTTGGAGGTTTGCAAAGGCACCTCCCCACTCCCTGTGGCTTGATTCCCCCCCCCCCAACCCCGCTAATCGTCTTTCGTGCTTCTCTCCTTCCCTTCTTTCCTAATTATTTTAAATTTTCCCCTCGCTTTCCCCTTTGCTGAAATGGAATGTATCAGTTCACTACTTTAAAATCTTCCTTGCATTTATATTTGCATTGCTCTGTGAAGGGTCAGTCCTGAACATAACGATTTGGGGCGGGGGTGGGGGCCAGGGGGGCTCATTTCTCTCTAAGGTTAAAAAAAAAAGCACACAATCCGGATGCATGGATTTTTGAGAGAGACAAACTATAGCTCATCCATCTGTTCAATTTTAGCTAGGAATGGGTGGGATAGCAGTTCCAGCCATTTGCTGGTGTGCATTGACAGACAGATGAGCGGTGCATTTAGTTTGCAAGAACATTGGGAATGGTGGGCTTTGGTACTTAGTAAGCTGTGCTTTTGTGGGGTTTTTTTTTGGGGGGGGGGGAGTCCCTAGAGTTTTATTGTTGTTTGTTTTTTCTCTTGTTTGTCAGGTGTGAGAGACTCAGATGACATTGTCCCTCCAAATAAGGGACTTCTGACAATAACGCTGGGCTAAACAGCTTCAGGCATAGCTTACAATAGGATGTCTGAATGTGTGCTAAGAGAATTGGGCATCTAAGTGCTAATATTTGAGTGTGTGAAACACACAGTATTTTAATGTATGTTAATGTATGTCTCTCTGTTTATAAGTGTGTGCACAGGCATGCATCTAAGCGTGTCAGTATGAGTATCTGAATGGACAGTGAGACTTAACAGTGTGTGTGTGTGTGTGTGTGTGTGTGTGTGTGTCTAACACTCTTGCTTTCATGTCTCTGACTCTGCCCTTGGATCAAGTATAGGTACTCGTCAGTTGAGAAGTCAGTTTACATGGGTTTAGCTACCTTCCTCTAACTTCAAATCGACAAACCAAAATGGATTGTGCCCACCTCCCTTACATAAAGTAGGCTTGTGGGATTATGTTCCCGTAATGGGCTCGGCTCCCACTCTTCCTGTGCAGTGGCAGGCTTGCCTCGTTGCCTTAATAGCACTTCGTCAAGCCTTGGATACTAACTGCATGTATTATTTAGATTTTGCATGTGACCAGAAGAGGAAGGAGCTGAGTTTCCTGTTGAACAAAATGCCTGAAACAAGAACAGGAAAGGAAAGGAAGCGAATGATACCAACCCCAAGGGCAGACTCGCCACAACCCATTCCCTAGAGTTTACACCAGACTCGGAGATGAAGCTGACATAAGGGGCTGCCAGGGAGCTCACCTGGCTTGAAGATCAAGGTTGTTATTTGCTCCAGGGAGATGCTAGGGCTGTGGGGCTTAAGAACAGTTAGTCTGGCAGGATCAGAGAAGGCGTGGGTGAGGTTCAAGTTGTAGAGAAGGGTCTGCAGAGCATCTTTCCAAACTAAATTCAGAAGGTTCCTTCCTGAATTCCAGAGGAAGGGGAGGGGAGTCTTGGCCATTTTAGCCTAGGACTCACAAAGCTCTGTGTCTCAGTTCCATCTCTGCTCTGCTACTTCATTTTTATTAGGTTAATATCCTCAGAATACCCAATCAACATGAAGCTTGAGCATTGTTACAGATTGTATAGAACACGCCTGTCAGCTGACAACAACCATAATCGAACATTTACAGAATATTACTAGAATATGCAAAAGGCCCATACTCCCTCAAAAATCTTTGGGCTGACTCACTTTACAGATCCCATCTATCTTAGCTCATTCCAAGATTCTGTAACCCAAACATTGAGTTCACCAAAAGGGTTTCAGAATGCCTGGCTGCTTGTGTTAAGGGAAAGAGGCTCACTCGGAAGTACAATTTTATTTTGTTTGCACGTAATTCTAATATCCATTACTTCTTTTGGACACTATGACATGGCAGAGTGACATGAGTTATTTCCATTTTAGGCAGGAGAAGGTGAGTCCATAAAGGCCAGAGGGCGTGATAGACAGCTTCTATCTTTCCTGTCTTGGTCTTCCAGCATCCCACATAGACACATGTGATGTTGTGTACCATTGTCAGGTGGACATTAGTCCTAGAATTTTTCCTCTGAGCTTCTCTCTCATCTCCAACATCACTCCCTTTCCTAGGGGTTCATCCAACTTTTAGCTCCCTGTGTCTTCTATACTTTTGCTCTACAAGGGTCCCCTGTATTGGAAGGGAGCTTTCTTCTTCCCCTGGCAAGCCTTTCCTGGACTTCATTCTTCCAAGGCCCTGCTAATCTGATAGGCCAAATTGTTTCAGGATGTTACTATCTAAAAATAACTTTATTCATAACCATTCCTTGTGCATTATTTACATTCTAATTAAAGCCTTCATTATCTGACTGTAGAGGAAACATTCCAGGGAGAGGTTAGGAAGGGCAAAGAAAAGAAAAAAAAATCTGAAAGGAGCAGCGGAGTTGGTTCTATTGTTAAGGTATTGCCTTTTCCCTCACGACTGTCTCCATCATTACTATAGGGATGAAGGTGCATTCCAAGGTCAACGATGCAGCCTGCAACATTCCAAGAGATTACGATTTATAGCCAGTGATGTGGCTTAACCTCTTCCACTTGGACCACCTTTGGTGGGTACCTAGATGGTGTCACAGACAGAAAGGCAGTTGTGTGGTAGAGAAACTGATTTCCCTGCTGATGACAGTAGCAAAGGAGGTCTTATGGCAGAGTGCAAGCAAATGAGAGGGGAACGTTGTGACCATTTTGCAATGTGCTGCCCAGGGCTGCAGGAGCTGAGTTCTCCTGCCTGGATACTGGACTTTAGCCAGTAGAAGGTTCACAGTGGGTCTGCTCTCCAGTGACACTCTGAAGAGAGCATTCCCATTCCATCATACACTGCCACATGACACCCACCACCCTGACTGTGCAGTGTGTCTTCCCTCCTTCACTACAAACAAGTGATGGTGCACTTCCTCTGCAGTCTCGTCTCTGAGTTCATGAGAATACAGACCCCAACCTCCTCAACGTTCCTAAGCCAGCTCTGCTATCCCTGTGTAAAAAAGAACCTCTAGTCTCACCATTGAACTGGTTTAGATTTTTAAAAATTATTTCATATATATGTATGTGAGGGGTGTGTGTGTTTCTGTGTGGAAGTAGGTGTACATGTGTAGGGGTCACCTAGAGGCCAGAGGTGAGTGTTAGATCCCCTGGAACTGAAGTTACAGATGGGTAATAAGTATGTGATATGGGTGCTGAGAACCAAAATCGGGGTCTTTTGCAAGAACAGCAATAACTCTTAACCACTGAGCCACCTCTTCAGCTGCCTAAAAAAAAAAAAAATCATTTATTTCATTTGGAGGAGAGGAGAAAGTACATGCACCTGTGCACATAAAGAGGTCAGAAAATAACTTGAGGGAGATGGATCTTTCTGACACGTGGGCCCTGGAGGTTGAATTCAGGCTGTTCAGCTTGACTAGGAGTGGCTTTATCTGCTGAGCTATCTTGCAGGCCCTGTCCCAGCCTCCTAACCATTTTTCTGCCTTCACCTTTGAATCTGCTTCACCTGCCAATTTATTCTCCCCTTGGCATGCTGACCACGAGACACAGCAGAAGTCAAATCATTCAACTGTAAACACTGCAAGGTTTCCTAGACATTGCTGTGCGAAAGGCAAAGCTCTAACCATGACCTGTAAGACCTGCCAGGCTGGCGCCCTGACCTCCCTACCTGTCTGATCTCTCTGTTTTCTTTTTTGACCAGTTTCCCACATATTGTCATTCCTCAAATATGACAGGCACACTTATTTGAACCCTGGAGTGGCTATTTTCTCTTGCTTGTCATGACTTCAACAAACATGCCTGTGGTGGCAACTGCTGCTGTTGCTGCTGCTGCCTCTTCTTCTCCTCCTCCTCCTCCTCCTCCTCCTCCTCCTCTACCACCACCACCACTACCTCCTCCTCCTCCTCTCCTTCTTCTTCTTTTTCTTCTTCTTCTTCTTCTTCCTCTTCCTCTTCCTCTTCCTCTTCCTCTTCCTCTTCTCTCTCTCTCTCCCCCCCCCGTGGCTTCCCATGCCAGTGTCCCCCTCTTAATGAAGCTAGTCCTGTGAATATGTTCCCAGTCCCTCCCCCTTTCCTTCCACCCTCTCCTCCCTCCCTCCCTCCCTCCCTTCCCGCCCCTCTACTGTTTCATTTTGTTGTGTAATCTACGTGTACTACTCTCCCACTGGATCTCAGGCTTCAAGAGAGCTGGAATGATTCCGTTGGTCCTTGGTGCCTAGAACAGTGTGATTACACAGTGGGTACTCAATACATTTGCCAAACAAATAAAAGATAAACAACATTAGTAACAACAGTTATCCAAAGCAGAATCATGTAAATTAATTCACAGGCTCCTCATGACCTATCTATTGGGTGTTTTTTTTAAAAAAAAAAAAAACAAAACATGTTATTGAATAAACCGAGTCTCAGATAAGTTAGGTAGTTAGACACATACAGTCCTTACGTTTCCAAATATCACTTTGCCTCTGTAATTGTAACTGTGCATTCTTTGGGATTTTCCTTCCAAGCCTCTGAGGCCATCCATATTGAACTGCTTTTTCTTTGTTGCCTTTCATTAAATATGGACACAGAGGATCTGTGTTACATGGAGTTCCTGCTACACAAACCGTTACAGAGCAACATGACACCACCCTTTTAGTTGCTTTGGAAGCAAGTCTATAATGTAAACTATGAGCTTACCACGAGCCCAAAGTGTTTCAAATCATTTCCCCTAAGATATGGACCTTTCTCCATTAATGACAAAACCAATCTTCTGTAGACGGCTGGATAAGGCTAGCCCACTTCCCTTGAAGGTTAAAAAGCCAAGATTTTTTTTCCACTTAGAAATTTTAAAAACTTTTCTTATAGTGCCAACAGGCTCTAAATTCCAAGTTTAAAATGGAAACGAAATATATTGATTTTTAACTGAATTGAAACATAGTGTTAGCTTTTGACTCAAAGCTGCAACAAAATAGCCTCCCTTGAAGTGCCAGCCTCTTCTCGAATGGGAAGGCTGAGCATCAGTGAGCTAGCTTTTACATATTAGTGTGTATTACTTTACCATTCATTCATGTTTATCATTCGTTCATGAACAGGGCTATCAGAGGATCCTTCAAAGTCCCATACAAAGACCGTTGGTGGTTGTTATATTTTTGAAGCTTCCAAATAATTAGATATAAAATCTCTTATCAAATAGCTTTTTTTTGTATTTATGGAGAGCTGAAGCATCTGAAAATATATTTTATTTTTTAAGTTGTTTTTTTATCTTGAGACAAAGTCTCATATAACTTATGCTGGCCTCAAATGCAATGAGTATCGAGGAAGACCCCGAACTTCTAATCCTCCTGCCTCAGTATCCTGAGGGCTGAGACTCCAGAATGTAGTACCACATCTGATTTTTCAATGTTGGAGCTTCTCTACCAATTGAGCTCCAGCCCCAAACCAATATTTGTTATTAATTTGTTTACTGGATTACTGGATACAGGTTTGTACTCAGTAGCCCAGGCTGTCCTCAAATTGCAGCAATCCTGAATATTCTAAAGTTCAGTTTGAGGGCACATGCCTGCAATCCCATCTCTCAGAGGGTGAACTGGGATTGTGAGTTCAGGGTAAACTTGGGCTCCACAGCAAGACGCTGTCTCAAAAAAAAAAAAAAAAAAAAAAAAAAAAAAAAACGGAAAAAAATAGACTAACTGTGTTAAACTGATTTTTATAACTTTTAAAATTGAGTATAATTGAATTTGTTTTCCATCTGCCAGGCTGAAATGTTTGAAGACAAGCCTGTTCTGTGTCCAAGTTCAGCATCGCATGTTCCCCATTTGCTCCTCACCAGGTCTTTTGGTCTGGTCTTCTCAGCTATGTTGAGTGTGTACTCCCTGAACAGCTTCCTTTTGTTAAATGCAACATGCCATCCAGATTTGTTCTGAACGATTTCAGAATTCCTCCCCCTTCCTTCTGCACACTGTACATCTGTTAATGCGTCCCACGTTTGTTCTTGTCTGGTTGGCATCAAAGTCCTGCTTTTGATTCATTCTAAATTTGCGATCTGACACAGTCACCTTTGATCCTTGGACTTCCGAGTTTCTAGAGGGTAGAAACCCAAAGTCCAACCCTCCATATGGTGTACAATGTGCCTGGCCATCGGACTCATCCAGAATCTGAATCTTTTTCTCTCTTCTCTGCACAGAGCTTGCTCAAGCCTAAGTGCTCAGTTCACCATACTCCCACTGATGTCGCACCATTCTCCTTGGGTCCTCAAACACAGATATGACTCTGTCTCCCTTTTAGAGCATGAGAGCACTGACAGATCTTTCCAACACGGGTCTTATTTGCTTTTCTGTCTCATGTCCCACCAGCCCTTTCTTCCTTTCTCCCAGCCCAAGCACAAGTAGCTAACTGCCTCTCTGGGAGAACTGGGCACCTTACTAACACGGCCCTTTGTGTGTTCTGGTTGAATCAGCAAAGAAATGTATTGTCTGCTGGGTTATATATGCATCGAGAGCATGGCTAGTGTTTTGTTCATCCTAGGATCTCTAATCTAGCATCAGACCTGGCAAGGAATGGATTTCCATGTCTGCTGGGTGAATGTTCACATGGGTGAACAGTTGACGGATGGAAGCACATATGTCTCCCACTAGACTGCAAAGCTTTGGGGGTCAGGCCCAAGACTATCCTGTTCTGCATCTTCCTGGCTTCCAAATACTTCCAGTCAATGTTGACGGATCTACCGCTGCACCATCCTGTTCATGCATACTCAAGGAGCCCCCATAACAGCTGTACACATGGATCTCGTTATTTTCAAGCATGTCTCAATGATTTTTTTTCTTCTCTGTCTTTCCTCCCTCCTTCCCCATTCCCCCATGCCTACGCTGGCTGTCCCCTTCTTGTCACCCATCCTCTCTCCAGTCAGAGTCTGCTTCCCTGTGTGTGTGGAAGTACCCTCGGAGACAGAAGCCGTGCAGGGCAATCCCATGAAGCTGAGATGCATCTCCTGCATGAAAAGGGAGGAGGTGGAGGCCACCACGGTGGTGGAATGGTTCTACAGGCCTGAGGGCGGTAAAGATTTCCTTGTATGTCAGACTGTTGCCTCTGGCCTTTCTTTTGCTGGCCTATGCTGCTGTGTGCCTGGTTCCTAACAGTTTGAGAGATGATGTCCTGACCTGCATTCATTCCTCTCCTGAACCCTAACATCTTCTCGGGAGATAACTGACAGCCCTATATTAACCCAGGGTCTTTGCAAGGTAGGCCACTTGGCCAGCTTTGAGCAGCCCTGATTACAAGCAGGAAACGGTTATAAGAGGTAAACATATTGAGAGAGCCTGTGTGGGCTAGGCTCCCAGGTAAACCTTTTACAGGTATGTTCATCTTCTGCACAGTACTATGAATTGGATTTAATGAAATCCAATTTAACTGAAAGAAAGAACACAAGGAAGCTTTATGAAAAGTAGCACAGGTGGTTCTTTCAACTCCCACAGTCCCAGTGAAGTAAGAGCAACCTGGGTGACCAATGCTTGTATCACCCGCTATGCCGAGGACAGCCACCTTTGTAAGTAGATCTTTAGCTTGTCCTTGCCCTGCTCTGTGTCCCAGGTGGCCATGCTCCATTCTCCCCAAGACAAACCCTCAGTCTTCTCCTCCCAATGATCTAGACACCAAGGGACTCATGCCTGGCAGAAGAAGCCTTGCAGGCTCTGGGCCAGGGTCAGGGTCAGGGTCAACACTGGTTTGGGACAGTGCTCATGGGGCTGTGACTCATTTAAATTGTTGTCAGTACTACCACTGATTCTGGAGTCAGGCCATCAAGTTCCATTCCTTTCTCCACAATATTCAGCTACATGCCCTTAGTCATGTTTAACCTCTTGATGTTTCCAATTATTTTGTTTTCCTTTTTAGTGGGAATAAGAACAAAGACTTCATTTGGGGATTGTTACTAAGAGTCATGAGGTCTGATTTTTAATGAATTTGAAATAGTCCTCGAAATGTGATGTCCGTTAGAAAAACTGAAACTCAAAAGAGTAACGTTAAATTAGCAAAACAGTTTAGATTTACACACACACACACACACGTTTAGATTTGCACACTGTGGTCTATCAGCAGATCCAAGGCTCTTTATGTTGATTTAATCTTCCTCTCCTGGGTCTCTTAGAGAATATTTAATGGAGATAATATGGTGGAAGTGACTTTCACCTGTTCCTTCCTTCCCCCTAGGTGGATTCATTTCTGATTCTAGGTTCTACGTGGCATTTGCCTCTAAGTAGGCTCCAATCTGGTGCCAAGGCAAGGACCAACAGTGATTTCTCTTAGAGTCTTAGAATCACACACCAGGGAAGGTACAATTCATTTAATGCCCAATTTCTATGATGAGTGGAGACTAGATGAAAAAAAAAAGTGTCCTGTCAAAGAGTGTTTTGAGAGGGAAGTTGGGAAGACCTCACTTTGGTTTTAATTCTTCCCAAATCAAAAGCCCTGTGTATATCTCTCTGGGGTGAGTTCTTGGCTCACTGGGCGTACTTCAGCATCATGGATTCCCACCTTTGGCCTGGCCTGGTTTCGCCACAATCAGAGAGTCAGGCTTTAAGCTCAGGGCTGTCAGGTATCTTCCCTGCTAACATAGTCGGCTTGTTGGTTTCTATGTCCTACTCCCTCACTGGCTGCCTCATCCCATATCTCACCATCCTTTACCCGCTTCCTGTCTCTGACCTTTTGTTTTCCTGTTTCTAGTCTCCTTTATGCATTGTCCACCCTCCATTCTTCTCCACCCCACTCCTTTTTATTCTCCCAGCATTCTTTCTGACTACACTATGCTGCCTCTCCCCTCACCATGTCCACGTGGTCAGCCATCTACCTGCTTTGCTCTGTCTTCATTCTCTCCTGTGGCTTCCTCTGTGTCTCTTTATCCCACCCCCATGCTCTGGGTCTTCTGCTAACATTGTCCCCTAGCTTTCCTGCCCATGGTAGCTTCTTCTACCCTGTCCCTCCCCGACTCTCCTGCCACAATCTGCTTCCGCCCTTCTCTCTGCAGATATATGAGTATCGAAATGGCCACCAGGAGGTGGAGAGCCCCTTCCAAGGTCGTCTGCAGTGGAACGGGAGCAAAGACCTGCAGGATGTATCCATCACAGTTCTCAATGTCACTCTGAATGACTCTGGCCTCTACACATGCAACGTGTCCAGGGAGTTTGAATTTGAGGCACACAGGCCTTTTGTGAAGACCACGAGACTGATACCCCTGCGAGTCACTGAAGAGGGTAAGCCTGAGGCCTGTCGTCTCTTCAGGGGGGTAGGGTGATGGACAATGGCTTCTCATACCTGTAATCCTTACAGAGCACACAAGCTCATGCATGTAGACCTGCCTTCCTACATGGCCCACTTTCTACAACATGCCCCACCAGAATCCCTTTGCTATGTCTCCCCTCAAAGCAGGCAGGCCAAAACAAGATATTGGGATGGCTTCCCTGGTCTCCTAGAGGAAAAGTGCATCCTCTACAAGGCCTACAGCCAGTGACTCCAACACGTCTTTCTCTCTGCCCAGTGTTGAATCCCCAATTTATATCTAGAAGTTATCTCTTCTGCTCTTGTGAGCCACATTTTATCTCCGAATAAGTTGCTTTCAAAATTTAGTGAGCCTCGAGTCTTCTCGGGAGTTTAAAAATTTTAAATTTACATGTATTTACATTGTGCGTGTGTGTATCTGTCTGTTTGCCTGCCTGTATGTCCATCTATCTGCACACACGTGCTATGGCATGTGTGTGGTTCAGCGGACAACTCGTGGGAGTTGGTTCTTTCCTTCTCCTGTGTGAGTAACAGGCTGTCCTTAGCTCATCAGTCTTGGTGGCAGGCGCCTTAATTGATAATCCATCTTGCTAGCCCTTTCCCATCTGTAGTATTACTACCTGTGTCTGTCCTCAGCCAGGAGTGGGAACAAGTTAATAGCTCCCTAGTCTTTAAAGTCTCCAGTCTCGTTGGCAGGTGGGAAATATTCTCCAAAACCTAATATGTGTATTCACCTCCTGATGTGAGTCCAGAATCATGGGGCATCCTCACAAAATGTCTTTGTGCTACTGTCAGACAAAGCAGTGTGGTTTGTAGCCCCAGCCTCCCAAGTCAGAGTGTAGACTCTGCCCTTTCTTGTGTTTCCGTACCACCATGCCATCCTCAGACCCTCTCAGATGGTTATATAATCTAGCATACTCTTACTGGCTGGTGAGCAGGCCATGAAAAGAGATGTCCCTAAGCAGGGAAGTGGAGGAATGGTAACCTCTAGGCCACTGGCTGATAAAGAAAAAAAAATAAAACATGTATTACTGTTATAAAATCTAGAGAGTAGCAGTTTGTGGGTCTTTGAGACACTTACTTAAGTGAAGTTCTCAAAAGTGTAGAAAGATTCTCAAAGTGTAGAAGGCTCAGGCCCCCTGAAGAAAAACTTGTTGATCCACTTCCATGAGAGCTTGTGTCCCCCGGTAAGGAAGCAGGGAGGTTGACCAGTAAGCTCTCTGAGGTATAAATCCATTCAAAGGTTCCATTACCGTCATTTGTTTATGTGCCGCTCCTCCTTGGGGAAGGGAGCCTGGTGCTATCTTGTATTCACCACCAGAAACTGTTGTCTGCTGCCTGCCCGACTATAGTCAGAGGCTTTGGCCTCCAGAGATCCTGGGGACACAGTCAGTGGGGAAGTATATGTCACTAAGCTAGTCTGCCTGCTTGGCACCAAAGCAGTCCTCAGGCAGGAAGAGAAGAGAAAAGAAGCTCCTAATTAGAATAATAGAATTTCAGGGATTGGAGGGCTGGGAAGGACTTGGAATAACAGTATTTAATCTATCTGTCTCCACACCAGCCTTGCAGGTTCAGTGACTTCATAGCTTGAGGTCCCGTATGTGTTCGTATGATTCCCCTTGAGCACATGGAGGACATAGGTGTGGTGAGTGTTCTCCAAGGAGCTAAGGTCTTGCTTAGAAACATGAAGTAGGCATGAGAAGCAGGATCAGCATCCAGATCTTTCCATTATCCAGTTACCCCTCCCCATTGCATCCTTTCCTCCCACCCTGCCCCCACCCTAAGATTCTCTTTCTTTGCTTTTAGTTTTTTTGCCTCTGTCATAACTGGGCAGCCACCCTCACCCCCACCCCCATATCACTCAGAGGTACACACGACAGATATTTGTTTGTCCTATTCCTGGGGCCCCGGGGAATCTGCCTGGTTCTCCCTGTTAGCTTTTTCCAGGCTTAGGCTGTCTGTCCTCAATCTAATACAGGAAGTGGTGGCCTCATCTTCTACGGGTGACAGAAATGTGGAGGGGTACCTTCCACATTTACTACCTTGGAGCTATTGCATCAAAATAGAGAGAGCACACATTTGCCAGGCCATGGCAAGCCCAGCAAAAGACCTGTGAGGCATGTTTTTAATGATCCTGTGCTTCCCGCTTCACCCATGACTTCCAGCTCCCATAGGAGAAAGATGAATGTCTAAGTAGAGATGAGACAGCAGGCTAGCACTTCAAAAATATATTCTCGCAGTCAGTAGAAAAGAGGCACAGCACAGTTCTTCCCGGGAGTGATTTGACTGGCTGGATGAAACTGCGCACGGATATGACAAATGCTACGTGGCATCCAGAGACGTTTCTCCTGGAGGAGCTTTTAGAAGAATCTAGGGCAATTCTCAGGAGGCTGAAAAGCAGGACAGGGTCCCAGGACAGAGGTGGCCAGGGGTGGGACATACAATGTAGGAAGAGGAGTCAGACTATGTAGATTCCTTTGATATTTTCATGAGTTCCTCTAGACTCAGTGCTTGTCTGAGCTACACAGAAAAACAGGCTTCAGGCTGGAGAGATGGCTCAGTGGTTAGGAGCACTGGCTGCTCTTCCAGAGGTCCTGAGTTCAATTCCTATTAATCACATAATGGTTCACCACCATCTATAATGGGATCTGATGCCCTGTTTTGTCATGCAGTCACATATGTAAATAGAGCCCTCATATACATAAATAAATAAATCTTTAGAAAGAAAGAAAAAACAAGTTTCATGGGTCTGTGGGACCCATGTACTCTGAACCTCGTGTCTCCTCTTTGTAGCGGGAGAAGACTTCACCTCGGTGGTCTCGGAAATCATGATGTACATCCTCCTGGTCTTCCTCACCCTGTGGCTGTTTATTGAGATGATCTATTGCTACAGAAAGGTCTCTAAGGCCGAAGAGGCAGCCCAGGAAAATGCGTAAGTCCAAAGATTCATAAGTAATAACAGCTTACACGCTCTGAATGCATGTGCTCCCAGAGGTGGGGTGTTAAAGCAATCCGTCTACTTTGTCTGCATTCCTCTTAACAGTCTATAAAGAATACATTATGATACCTATTTTAAAGATACAAGAGTTTTTGTAAGTAGTAGACTATCATAGTTACTATTGCTATGAGGGAAAATATAACAAAAAAGCAGCTGGGGGGCAGAGAGTATTTACTTTTGTTTATATGTCCAAATCACTGTTCATCCTCAAAGAAAGTCAGGGCAGGAACTCAAGGCAAGAACCTCGAAGCAGGAACTAAAGCAGAGGCCACAGACTGATTTCTTATTGGCTTGTGACATATGGCTCACTTAGGATGGCCTACCCAGGGGCACCACCCATCCTCAGTGACCTGGGCCTTCTCACATCAATCACCAGTCAAGAAAATGCCCCACAGGCTTACCCACAAGCCAATTTGGTGGGGGCATTTTTCTCAGTTGAGGTTCCTTTTTCTAGCTTGTGTTGAGCTGACAAAGTAGCCAGCACAGAAACAAACTGAGATTTGAATTCGGGCCAGCTGTCTCTTGGCCTGCATTTTAAACCACCATGGAAAAGACCAGCAGCTGCCAAGGCAAGCCCCATAAAGTTATGTGTTATATCACAACCAGTTCATGAATGCTGAGTTGAGGCTTGCTCACTGAAGACAAACATGGTGATGTGTTGAATGGAGAAGCTGGGGATTGAACCCAGGCCTTCTATCCTTCTATTCTTAACATCTTTGCTCCTTCTGACATATTCAGCTTCTCTCTCTCTCTCTCTCTCTCTCCATCCTGGAGCATATCAATCCACCTTAGCAGTGTCATTTATTAGCTAAAGAGTGCCACACACTCTTTTAAGACTTGGTAGAAATTGAATACCTCAAGCTTGGGATCTAATCCCTTAGTGTCTGGCCTCTGCCTTCCCGACTTTTCCCAAAGACCTCTCACTTAAGAGTGAGTCCCTGAGGGAAGTGCTGGGGTCTATAAGGACAAGGGAGCTAAAAAGCCCTATTGGCCTGTTGTTTGGGGGAAAAAATGAGGACACGAGAATAAAGTCCACAGACATCCAGGCGATACTGTTGAAGCGGTAAACCTAAAACACCTAGGCCATTATTGCCTGGAAATTCTTGATAAAATTTAAAAATAACTCATTCTGTGATACCCATGATCTCAGAAAAAAGAAGAAAGATGACAACCAATCATGTCTAAAGACAGTACTTTTGGTTGAGTGGAGGATACTGAAGCTTGGGCACAGTGTCCCTCCAAGAGGGATCACACAAGAAACAAAATAGGAAGTAAGACCCCTAGAAGAGTCAGAATCCCCAGAGAGCAACAAAGGGTAGACCAGACAACAACCGCTTTGAGAAAAGCCAAGGAACTTATCTATGTTGGCCTGACTCCAAGAAGAGCCAGAAAAGGTTCTTGGGAATAAGCTTGCTGTCGCCAGACTTGGGATTTGAATAGATTCGAGCCACACGATCAAGGAAACTGAAGATGAGAAATTCAGTTCAAAGCTACAGCAATAAGAGGGGGAAAGACATTCCAAAAGAGGCTCACTCTAGGTCAAGGCCTCACAACAAGACTCCCCCAGGCTAACTGTGGCTCCACCTGCTTTCCTAATCTCTTCCCAACTAGAACTAACAGAAGGAAACAATAGAGCTGATCAGGAGATGCTACAGGCAGTGGGTTAGGTCCCAGGAGACTCAAACACAGAAAGTATACAAATAAAGCTTTTAGAAAATAAGCTGTTTAAAATGATAAAAGTGGGGCTAGGATCTGGCTCCAGGGGAAAGCTTATGTCTTCTCTGTGAAAGGCCCCAGGTTCGACTCCTAGCACCTCACAAAGATGAACGAAATAAAATACTTAGAGAAAAGAGGGGGAAGAGGAAGAGAAGGAAGAGGAGGAGGAAGAGGAGGATGAGGATGAGAGGAAGAGGAGGAGGAATAGACAGAGCCAAAGAGCAAAGCAAAGGGCAATCAGAGTTGACAGAATAAAATATTTTTTTCTGAAAAAAAAAAAAAGTTAAAAAGGCAATCAACTACTCACTGGATTAATTCAATGGAAGGTTATGTCTTGGTGACCAGAAGATAAATTTGAAGAAGTTACACAGAATATGGCACAGATAGAGAAAGGGTGACATGTAACGAAGAAACAGGAAGAGGGAAATAAGGTGATCCACTACAGAAGACAGAATGAGAGGAAATTACCTGTACTCAGAGGTGGGGGTAGGGCAGAAAGGAACAACTTCTCTAAAGAAGCATAATGTTTGGGGTCCTCAACTCGGGATCAGTCATCCTAAGAGTCTTTTACTTTATGATGATGCGGAAGCAACGTATGTTCAGCAGATAATTACTTCAGAGGTTGAGTTTTGATGTCTTCCCAGAATAGAAACACACTTTACTCTCTCCCGATGCTGGGCAATCACTGTGAACCTCAGCCTCTGGTCAGCAGGAGGCACATTGTTGCTAAGGAAACGTTGATGGTAGGTGAGGTAGGCATTGTCATCATTTGTCAGGACATGGCCCCCTAACTTAAGGAGCATCTTATGTCCCGAGTAGGGTGAACACATACATCTACACCAAAACACAAATTTTCTTTAGACAGATAAATGTGGCAACTACTTGGTACTCTATGTCACTACCATCTGGGAGGAAACTCTGGAAGAAATACTTATAATATCCAAAACATGACAAGCATGCCATCTCTCCCGGCTCCTGTCCAACATTGTATTTGAAACCTTGGGTCCAAATACTAAGAAATATGCTCAGTTTGGTTTTTTTTCCTGTTGCTGTGATAAAATACTCCAACAAAAGCAATGGACGAGCACACAGGTTTATTTGGCTCTCAGTTCCAGGTTATGGTCTAGCATGGTGGGAGCTGGAGAGGACTGGGTACCACAGTCAAGAACAGTCATCAGTGACTGTATGCATGATTAGCTCAGTGTCTTTCCCCTTTTATATAGGATCCCTGCCTAGGGAATGATCCCACCGACAATTAAGATGGGTTGTCTTGCCTAGGTTAACGTCATTAAAACCATCCTTTACATGTTTAGAGGCTAACCTTAATCCAGATGATCCCTCACGTATGTGCCCAGAGATATCCTCGGCATTGAACTGGCCATCACAGATATAAGCAAAAGGATAAGATTTACGAAGGAGGAAACTATATTATCCACTACTTGTACCCGAAGTACCAAGATCTACATAAAATTTCCTTAACCCACCTAGTTAAGAATTTGTATAAGGTCATCCATCCAAATCCAACATCAGTTGTATATCACATAATATTTCAGTCACAGAGACCATGTGTACCACAGCGGGCTCATAAAATCACATCACCTGGTGAGAGCATAGTTTGTGCACTTACGCATTATGATGTTCACACAAGGACAAGGACATACGATAAGACGTTTCTCAAAATGTGTCTCTGATGGGAGAGGGAAGTAACACTCTCCAAAGAATCAACTATGTCCCAGCAACAAATGGAGAAGCGCATTGAAATCCTTAAATTAGAAAAAATTTCATTAATTGCAATAAAGGCTGAGGAGATGGCTCAACGGTTACAAGCACTTGCTGCTCTTCCAGAGGACTCAGGTTCAATTCACAGCACCTATAGGGTGGCTCATAACCACCTATAACCCCAGTTACAGGGTATCTAATACCCTCTTCTGACCTCCATGGGCACCAAGAATACACATGGTACACACACACACACACACACACACACACACAATGTACATATATATGCAGGAAAAACATCCATTACACATAAAAAATACATCTTTAAAAAGTTTAATTGCAACTGTAACGACTGTTCACCAGTCCCTAGACAACAAGCATGGGAAATACCTCTAAGGATAAAATTACAGAACCTTACTGAAAAACATGAGGAAAAGCAGAAGGATAAAGTATGAAGCTTCACTCTTCCAAGCAGTTCTTGCCCAAAATAATCTTCAAAGTCACTGAAATTCCAATATAAACCTCTACTGGGTTTCTCAGGGGATATGATAAATTCATCAGAAAGGTCACACAGGAGCCAAGAGGCCAACAACACCTTTAAACCAAAGCATAGCTTGATTATTTTAGGTTTTGCAAAGCTACACAGGACTTCTGTCACAGCATTCCTCCAGGGGTTTTTCTGTTTACAAAATTCTAAACAGGTAAATACAGTTTGTGAATCAGAAGGCTTGCCTACCGCTGACCTACACATCAGTTCAAAGAGAAAACCATGTGTCTGGCACATGTTTGCTTGCGGTTTGATGTATCTCATGAGCCATGAACACCGCTTACACGGGTATCAGAGAATTGCTTCCCTGTCTTTTGGCTAAGATCAAGTGTAGAGCAGAGGAAATTTTAGGATACTAAAATTAAAATTAGATCACCGAACTCTCTAATAAAGTCACACCAAAATAAATTAGGGGTAAAATTTAAAATGGAATGTAAAACTTGTAAGTTGCAATAAAGTAGTAGAAAAAATATTGTGTGTAAATAGAGAAAATTCTCTTCTTGTAGTTAAATAAGAATTTCTATTTAAAGTATCATGTTTTAAAGGAAAAAAATTCTTAAATACCAAAAGTACAAATCAAAGATGGAAAAAAAGGCACTTGAGAGGCAGAGGCGGGCGGATTTCTGAGTTCGAGGCCAGCCCAGGACAGCCAGGGATACACAGAGAAACCCTATCTCAAAAAAAAAAAAAAAAAAAAAGAAAAAGATGGAAAGAAAGATAATTTTCACTACATTATATGTAAAACATTGATTGTTCTTGATAACAAGCTATAGGAAAACATTAACAACAGATTGGGACAAATTTTCCAAATATGAAACAATAAAAAAAATCAAATATTTCAGAAAAAAAAAGCAAGAAAACAAATCATGAGATAGAAGTAGAAAACAAAGCAGCTTACACACATACGGAGAAGCTCAACCTCACCAGTAACTGGACAGATGGAAATTAAAGCAGCTTTGAAATACAAATTCATACCTATTTGGTTTAGTCAAAATGTCAGCCTTCATCCTGAAGATGATGAGAAGAGTCAGATACTGCTCCTGGAAGTATTCATATGCAATTCGGGAAGGGGATATTACTATATCTGCTGAGGCTAACTGTACCTTTGTCTTGGGAAGCCCAACCAGGAGGAATTATGGAGGCTTTCTATACACAGCCTTGTCCCTGGTCACATGCCTTTCCACTCACCAATGACTACTAAGGCACTGCCTCTTTTCCTCTCCCACGCCCTCTGCAGGTCTGACTACCTTGCTATCCCTTCAGAGAACAAGGAGAACTCTGTGGTACCTGTGGAGGAATAATGTGGTGACTTGAGGTGATGTACAGGCATTTGGGAGGGTAAGGTGGATGTGGATGGCATGTCATACAAATGTTGTTTGGCGTCTACAACGGAAGTGACTTTCAATTTGGTCTTTTCTACTCTGCGTAGCGATCCTGTCCTTCGGGTACTTTAACGGTCAAATCACAATGGCCCCCATTATGTCAAACCCATCAGAAGTTGAATTACTTTAGCCTGAAGATTGAACAACCCAATCCTCTCGCTCATGATAACAAAGTCATAATAATTCTCTCATTCCCTGTTTAGTCTATGTGTGTTTGGGAAGGGTTACACTGGACATTCTCAATGAGTTCTTCTATTGTTGGTAGGTGATCTGAGTGCTGAGGGATTTGATATCCCCAGTTCAGTGATGCCAGCAACATCAGGAAGTGTCCCAGGTGTCCCAACACATCCATCTTTCTAGTCATCAACCACCTACCCAACTGTGAAATTTTTACCTGACTTCCAAACTCTATCAGAACTCTACACATCTTGGCCTTGCCTGAACTGAAGAGCCAACATCTCCACATGGACTAAACCTCACTCTGTCCTTGCTTCCAACCAAGCAGCTCCCAACTCAACTAGAGTTGTCCCCTATGCTCCAAATGACTTTAGATAAGTACTGGAGAGTAGTATTTCCTGTGCCCTAACTGTCTGCAACTGAGTCACTCTCCACTGCAGCAAAAGGATGGATGTATATTAGAAGGAAGCCCTGATTGGTTTGTCTTAAAGCCAAAGCGTGCCGTGTACTTTGATTCATTGAAGTCAGTTTTTTTCTTCCTGCCTCTCAGAGCACCAGAAAGCAGCATGCCACTAAAGTTTCCAGGGACGACATCTGTGTGCACTGGAATGTATTCTGGAGCTCAGTGTCTCAAGGCAATGTCTCCATAATCCTGAAGGCCTGGAGCAAACCCAGAACTTCCAAGAAGCCAAGGAATGATCCAGGACAATTTCAGTAGGTCTTGAAAGCGATGTAACAAACTCCTGATGTTGGAAACATGGATGAGTGACCTTTCTGGATTGAAATTCTTCAGTTCTTCATTTCTCAGTGTGTCTGTGGATCAGTATTAGTCTTCATTTTACAGGGGGCAGCTAAGACTCACATAAGGCTAAACAGGATATTTAGGGGATTAAACTGGACTAGAGATGACTTTCCTGCTGCCAACCTCACACTCCCTGAGATGAAAGATGCTTTTTGAGGACTCTTAACAATTCAGCATGGCAGAAGCATGCCATTTGTCCAGCAGAGGCTAACTATGATAGATTCGAGTAACTGGAAACTGGATAAGAAAACACAGACAGCACGAGATAGACTTTAGAATTCCACACAAAGATTTGGGAATCCAAAGCATCCTCTAGGAGAGATGGTACCTGAGGGCGATATCTATATGACAAAAACTGGTTTTAGTCTGAAATGGACAATGAACAAAGAGACAAAGATGGGTGTGTCGCTTCTAAATACCTCACCTGTAGATGTCATGTTTGGGTATTTGGTGTTTGTAAAGTTCCCCCACCCCTACCTTCATCCCTACCCAAGAGAGCAGGGAACCAGTGACAAGATGTTTAGCCGATATCTCTTTTTAATGACTGTTCTAAGTGCAATATTCTTTAGCCCCTACAGATAGCAAGGGCAGGAGGCCTTATGGTATATAAAAAAAAAAATGAAAGTGAAACTGTTTAAGAGAAATGTCCTCAACTCTGGGGAGATCTATAAGAAAGACCATTCTCCACCCCTACCGGGCTTTATATGACAAGCTCATTTTATACCCCCACCATTTCCTTCTTGGTGGATGCTAGACACGAGCTTTGAGAGTCCCATCTCCCTCTTCTTATCTGGTTTGTTTGTACATGGTGGTTTACCTAGAATCACAATTGCGCTCCCTTACGGGAGCTCATGACTATAACCTAGAAGGTATGGCACTCACCAGCCAACTTAAAATCATCACCATCTCCATTTCTTCCCATATTTCTTACTTAGAATCCCACACTAGATGTGTACAGCAGCTCTGGAGCCTTTCCTGGTGTGCTATTGCTTACTAAAGGGCTTAGAAGAGTTCTCAAGGGCTATAATCCTCTAGAAACCCCATTGTTTGTCTTGGTGCTGGGTATTTGCTGTGACTGATTCTCAATAATTTACTGTAGGTCAAACTAAGCTGAGTCTAGTTTTCCCTTTATTGCTGCCTAACAGCTGTGAACTTGGTTACTCGGTTGGTCCTGAAAGCATCTTGGCCTGTTGACTTGGACTGTCAGCTAGGTGTTAGATCAAGCTCCAATCCCTAAGTGGAAATACTCAATGCTTGCTATCTCAGGCTTTGCTTTCAATCTGTTTACACATTATTCTTCGGTTTCTCCACCCTCCATTAATTGCATTACCCAAGCTTTGAGTTTCTGGGTTTGCTCTTGACATCAAAATAGAATTGAGAAAGACAGAGGGTGAGCTTAAAAGGGGGCGGGGCTAAGGTGATAGCCCAGTAAATAAAATGCTTGCCACCCAAGCGTGAGAGTCTCAGTGTGATCTCTAGAATCCATGTGAACAGCCAGACATCACGGGCACACATTGGTCATCCCAGAGCTCGGGAGGCAGAGACAGGAAGATCTGAGCCTCACTCACCAGGTCACCTGGCCGAACTTACTTGGCAAGTTCCAGGAGAGTGAGAGACCCTGTCTCAGAAAACAAAAGAAAAACAAGGTGGATCATGCCTGAGGAATGACACCCAAGGTTGACTTCTGGCCTCCACATATACATGTGCGCGCGCGCGCACACACACACACACACACACACACACACACACACACACAGAGAAAGAGAGAGAGAGAGGGAGAGAGAGAGAGAGAGAGAGAGAGAGAGAGAGAGAGATTCCTCTCACTTGTTTTATAAACAGGAAAGCCCTGGTTCTCAGGATTCGCTCAGTCACTGTAAATGGATGTAACCAGGGCCCTGGCGTGCCTGCGCGTCATTCTGACCATCTACTCACATTGTTCAACATTCTGTGTCGAGCACTAGGTTAGGCTCTAGCTAGATTCCTTGATCTTAGGTCTGTAAAAGTGTGCAAGCATGTGTGTGCACTCGCGTGCGCGCGCTTGTGTGTGTGTGTACGCTCGTGCGCAGGCACATGGTTCCAATAAAGCCTCTCTGCTCATGTCAATAAAGTATCTCTGAAGACCACTTGTTCTGGGTTTGCTGTGCTTACGACGTGCGGCTGCTGCCCCCTCTGGTCTCCATCCAGCCCACACTCTGCCCTACTTCCGGGACCCAGGAAACTAACCTTAAAGAAAAAAAAAAGTAGTCAAAAAATCTAAAGCTCAACGTGCTAGAAGTGGGTTCAGTCCTTCCTTTTCTCCTCTACACAAACACAAAAGAACGCAAGAGAAGCGCTCTCTTGTCTAGCATCATATACTTCGTAACCAGGTGGGGAGACGCTAACAGCGGGAACGATCTGATGTCGGGAAGATTCAGGTGACTTTCACTTTAGGGAACATAAAGACAAAGCTGTCTTCCAGTATCTAGCTTTGTAAAAGGGCCAAGATCCCCTAAAGGGAAAAGCATAACAAGATTTAGTTCTCTACAGTTGTTGTTTATCTGGGGGAAGAGGTGGAGACAAGGGTTTCCCGATGTAACCCTGGTAGTCCTGGAACTCACTCTGTACGCCAGGCTAGCCTCGAACTCAAGAGATCTACCTGCCTCTCAAGTGCTGCGTTTAAAGACGTGGACCACCATGCCCAGCACCACTAGCTTAATGCTGATGAAGACTAAAAATCAGGCTGGAAAGATGGCTTAGTGGTTAAGGGTGCTTGTGACCCTTCTAGAAGACCCCAGTTTAGTTCCCAGGACCCATGTCACATGACTTCTAACCACCCGTAACTCCAGCTCCAGTAGATGCAATACCCCTTTTTCTGGCCAATGAAGTCATCTACACTCAAAAGTACATAGACATGCACATATACACATAATTTAAAGTCTGTTTAAAAGATTTCGAGATTAAACATATTGTAATATAACTCCAGCTACCACTTTCAGAAATATACACGTACGTCTTCATAAGACTTTATCCCAAAACACTGAGATGGGTGTGTGCTCATGTATGACAGATAAAGCCCTCCCTCCCTAAGGCTCTTGAAACGTCAAAGGAATAGGAAGACCTCAGGAGGATGAGGAAGAGTACTGTATGCTGTCTGGCCATTGATCACGATTACACAGAAGCGGTTTGGGACCCCGAACAAAGACTGGGCCTTTCATTCTACCATGGATGGGGTAGGAGCTGATGAGGCCCTACTCCTGTCTGTACTGGGGAGAGGTGTTTTCTTCAGTGATGTAGCTACTAAGAAGTTAATTAACTTCAGTAAGCAGTCCCTCTACCCATGGTCATACAAGTGACCTGATTAAATCCAGTGAGTTAAAAAAAAAAAAAAAGACAGGAGGGTGGGAGGCAGGAAAACCTGGAAGGGGGATTAAGAGAAGATAGTGGAGGTGGATCCAATGTGTTGTAAACCTGTATAAGCTTGTCAAAAATAAGAAGCAATGAACAAGAGTTAAATTTTAAAAAAGTTAAAATTCAAAACCCCAAATAAAAAACTTAGCCATTGCATTTAACCGTGCTGCCTCTCTTCCTGAGACAGAGGCCTGTGTAGGCCACACTTCAGTACACTCACGCCTTCAGGACTTGTTGTGAGCATATGTAAGGATACCAGGAATACTGGGGGGGGGGGGCAGAATACCGATGGACCAAACAAATAAGCACACACACGCACACATCATTTATTATTTGCTATTCAATACTTTTTTTTTCCTTTAATTCATACTGGACTTCCATGGCTCTAGCTACTTTACATTAAGATTTGGCTGGATAGCCTTGTATGTTTCTAGGTACTAGCAATAAGTTTTTGGACCTTGCGCACAGCGCCAGGCAAAGTACAGTTGTAGATCCAAATACAGACGGCCAAACAACTCAACTGCAACCAACCTGTGTTCTTTCCCACGTGTGGCCCAGTGCAGGTGTTGGGTGCTGCTCCCTCTGTCTTACCCGACTCCACCCCACGTCAGGATTATCCAGGGGGCCACTATGGCCTCTGATCCATCCCTCCCCACCTCAGAGTGTAGGTTGAGTGGGGTCGGGGAAAGCACCATGGGTTTGGGAAGATGGTCTGGTCCATGCAGTGAGTGGTCTGGCCCTAGAGTGCAAGGTAGGGAGATGTGGGGTGCCACACATTCTTGTTGGCAAAAGTGACTGTTTTACTGTGCAGTCTCTGCACACACTACAGAAGCCCGGGAGGGCCAACTCCCCAGACAGTCTGATGTCCTGCCTGGAGTTAGGGCCGCCATTTTGCTTCTGTGGTGTCTTATTGTATGGAGAGAAGCAAGGAGGACCAAAGGGCAGAGATGGCAATGTCCATTAAGCATTCACATGCTGGGAGAGATGTCTGGCATCAGCAAATCTTGGCAGGTAAGTGCTTCTCATCAGTAGCCAAGGCTCCAATCCGGGGCTCCCAGGCCTGCTGAGGGACCTCTCCAAGTCACAAGACCCCCCTTGAACTGTTGCAGAGCACATCAGAACAGGGAGCTGGCTGAGCCCATCACAATGGCTGGAGCAGGAGTGAGGTAACAAGGCTGGGCAGAGAGGTGAGGGAGGGAGCTCTCTACACCACGTGCAAATTCCTGCTTCGTATCAGGAATGTGGGGGATGGTGAAAGATTGGTCTTCCAGAAAACACTCCTCTGGGATCCAAATGCATCTTTTGGAAGAAGACTTGGAGATGGAAGGGAGTGGGGGCAGCCTGCTGGAGGATGGAGAGGTAAGGGGGCAGGGTAGACGAGGGTCAAGGATGGCAAAGGAAAAGTGGGAATGATTGCCCCATAGCTTAGAGATGGGGAGGGTTTGGGGGGAGGGAGAGAGTCCTGGAGTGGGTAGGCAGAGTTCAGGTGTGTAGGAAGGGCCACCACAGCCCTGCCACCTGGGGGTGGGGGGAAGAGAGACGATTGCTATTTCTCCTTGGCCCTAACGACAAGGGCTAGCTTTGGCTACCCTGCAGAGCTATGGAAGTGGGATGGTATGGCACAGAAAGGACCCTTCTGGGAGCACAAATAGTCCAGAAAGAGTCTTTCCCCTTGCCAGTCATTTCCCCAACACCTCGTCTTACAGATGCTGTCTACAAGAATAACGGGCCAGTCCCAGCATAGGTGATGGGCTATGGCCAGGTAGAGAATCCACCTGTGGCCAATTCCTCTCAAGGTTCCCTGGTGCTCCTCACTCCTTGATGCCAGTGTTCTCACACGAGCCAAGGATGTTAGCAACGGTTTCATCATTTATTCAAACCTCGACAGGGGGGTTTGGCTGAGAAGAACAGAAGTTCTAGAACTGGGAATGGCTTCGTCCCATTGTCTCTTCCATCAGTGAGGAGTATGGACAGTAGAAAGGATTCACAGTGCCTGGAGATGGAAGATGGGCTCGGTCCAAAAGGATACCTGTCTTGCTGTTATCTTCTAAGCATAAACCAATTCCTAGTGTAAAACTAGGCCAAATAAGGAAGGAACGGCCCTTGTGCTCCTGCTGAGCAAGATTATCCCTGCCACTGGAAGCCCCTAGACCTCGTAGCCAAGAACAAAGTTCATCTGCCCTGGCAAGGACATCACTGGCCTAATGTCCCAATCAAGTCAAACCTAGATCCCACATTAAAGGTCACTTATTTCAGCCCTCTCTGGTTACAACTGGCTCGTGAAGCTCAGTTGTCAGGGACTTATCCAAAGCCACATGACCTTTCAGTAATGTGGTCGGGGACTCAAGCCCAGATCTCTCATAGTCCAGTAAAAAGGACTCAAATATCTTGCCACACAAATCCTTACAGAAAGATCAAACTGAACATACATCTACAATAAACGAACAAAACCTGCCAGCCAGAAGAAGTTACCAGAGGCCAGCTAGCTTCCACGTCGTCCTGCAGACAGCTAGCTGCTCGCCAGGCCATTGTCCAGGGCACTTTACTTTGGCTGTAGGGGTGAATTCCCACTTCTTTCACAAAGTATGCACGGAGGGGAGGAAAGATTTGGTTTGAGAATAAACTGATATGTTGGTTTCCTCCAGGTTTAAAAACCCAAGCTAACGCTAAGACAGAAGGAACTCACAAGAAAGCCATCATTCTTGGGGGCTATGCTTTATGTGCACGTATCATCTGGGTTCACCAGAAAACAGGAAGCTTTCTCTGACAACTTAGGTGCTCTCCTCCCCTAGACGATACTGCAGGCCAAAGAACAGCAAGTCTCAATGGTTAGGGCCGCTTCTGTTACTTGACTTTGTCCCCCCCCTCCCACCCCATCCACAATGAACACTTTTGAAATCGTTTTTTAAAAGATCCATGGCTACCTTAACAATTGAACTTAAGTAAATAACTACATATGCAATAAATCTGAGAATTTCCAATTTTGCTTTCAAAAACTGTCTGGGAACGCTTCTGGCTTCTGGCTATTCCAAGAAGAAACTACCTAGCACCTCAGACCACCCTCCCTTCTTTGACACCAGGCTCATGGGTTTTGACTGTCACTAGCATCTCTCAAAACAGACCAAGTGGTCTTTTGGACCTTGTCCACTCCAGAGGAACAGATGAAGCCATTCCTCACCCCTGCTTTCCCAGAAGAGTCCTAGGAGTACCAACTACCGACGGGAGCCTTCTCCCTCTATCAGAAGATGATCCAGAGATACAGCCTATTTTTTTTTTTTTGATTTTTGCTCTTCAAGAAATACCAACACCTATTTCTCCAGGGCACTGTAACATCAATGACTTTCACTGCCCAAAATGGAATGCTCAGACAATTCTAAGAGGAGAAAGTAACTTTTCTCTAGGGTAGCTAATCAGCGCCATCTTCCTTCCTTTGTACTGATGATCTGGGAAATCCAGGTTTCCTTCTTGAGAAGCCTGGGAGAAGCAGCGAGCTTAAAGACACTTTCCTGACAACCCGTCAGCAATCTTTACTAGCATGGATCTCCAAGAGCTCTGCCAGGGGCTGGCAGGATGCCTTGAGCCGTCAGATGGAAGAGCAGTATATACCTGTAAGGGAGGGTTATGAATCTGCCCAGAAGGACCTCTTGAGATCAGATAAAACCTGAATCCTGATGGGCTAACCTTAAGAAGGCCCTGGATGGTTCAAGTTCCCAATGTAGCATCTGCTTTTTATTTCTGGGTGGCTGGCTTTCTATCTCACCAGGGCCAAAAACTATAAAGAGGTTTGTACACATACCTTCAGAAATCCACTATCAAACCTGAGAAACTTAGAACTGAGGTGGCCTCTGTGGGGGGCCAGGTTCCATTTGGCCTTTTCCTAACCAAATGCATACATCTATGCCAAATACTCCCTCTAGTGACATACAGTGGCACAGAGCTGCCTCTATTGCTAATGCTGGTTCCTTACCAAGAGTTAAGGATGCTGTCAGCCCTCTAAGTGACGTGGCTACTATGCTCACTACTCACACAGGATCTTGGGCAAGCTCCCAATCCATGTTTCTAGATCGTTCTCTGTTTCCCAAAGCCCAGAGGGACTAGGATACCCTGACTTATCCTGGACATCAAACTCACAGATCAAAGAGAAAGAATTAGAGCCACAGACCCTGACTCGCTTCCACTAAGAGAGGTCGTTGTTTTGTTTTTGAAACAAGGTCAAAAAGGCTCCACCCTGGCTAAGAAACAATGTGCTCTTAGGGCACACAGAAACAATAGGATTTTAGGCACTAAAAAGTGACCCTTCTCCCAGATCCAGCCTGGGAGAAGACCAGAGAGAAAGGGAGTGGGAGAGACGTGGGAAATTCCCAGCCCTTTGTGGGGTCCACAACCTACTCAGGTCAGAAGAAGGTGTGGGAGGTGGCTGAGGAAGATTTTCCTTCAGATGCCAGAGCTCAGGAGCCTGCAGCCCCAACAGCCCAGGCCCACGAATGCGGCCTCTGTCACAAGTCCTCGCCACCTGGCTTTCAGTGTGATCCTAGTCGGTGGCCTCCTGCGGGACTTTGAAGGGGGCTCCTGCCCCGCTCCATTCTTCCTGTTCCCAAGGGAAGGCCTGGGGAAGCACTGGGTGGGGTGGGGGTAGGGGGTGGGGAGAACGGGTTCTCTTTTATTCTAGAGACAAATTAAAAGGGGGGTTAGGAAATGAAGCACCGTAAGCAATGTCCTCTTGAAGTGACACTGAAGACAACAAAGGTCTTCACAGGCATAGACTTTGGCTTGGGCCACATTTTCCTTCTAAGGGCCGAGAATGGCCAGCGAGGGAAGGAATGAGGGAACAAAACAATGCGGAGAGGAGGATCAGGGGAGGTTGGTGCTGAGAGGTGGTCCCTGCCCTCCTCGGTACCTCCACAGTGGAGGGAAAACGCTGCTCTGGCCGGCACAGGGGGCGGGAGTTCCCGCTCCTTCTCCCTGGTACATAGGCATTATTTCTTTTTAAAATCTGTATATAATATATATTTATATTCTGTATATATATATATTTATATATATTTATAGGGTCTATGTACATGTATTGCACAGGCCTCTTGTAGACACCCCTGGTCCTGCCTTGTCAGTGGTAGCGGTTCCTCTTCTCGTCGCTCTCAGCTGTGTAGTCTCGGGACCTGATACCATTCTGAAGGTTGATGAGTGAGTCCTTCATCTGTAAGACAGGGCTCTCAGTGAGTCTCCACAAAGCTGCGGCTGCCACGCCCATCTGTAGCCCATCCCTGACCGTGTCACAGAGCCCACAGAGGGTAAGTCTATAAAGCACGGGAGGTTCTCGGGACCCTCAGCCTCAGATAGAAAGGGGTCAGCAGGTCCAGCACTGGAAACCCCTCGGGCTTGGTTATTTGTGACTTTCATATCAGCAAATTACAAGCATTCAGTTGCTCTATGAAGGAAACCACCTTGAACTATGACTCACTTGGCCTTTAGCCTGAATATATTTTCTGCCTCTCTTTCTCCTAGCCTGGGATGCTTTCCAATTTTCCTCACTCCAATTTCACCCGGTTGGAAAGTCCAGAAACAACACCAACTTTCTAAAGTCATAATCGCCCTTTCCTCCCGGCCTCTCAGATTCTCGGAGGCTCTTTGCTGAGTTATCATGAGCATTTTAACTTCATATTTCTTGGGACTAAGCCCATTCTGTCCTTCCCAGACATACGACACTGGTGTTAGGCAGAGAGAAAGCAGGTTCTTCATCAGCCCCATAACAGGAAATTAATACTTTGGGGGGTCACGAGATGAGGTCCAAAAGGGTTAGCTCCAATCGGAGGATCTTCAAGTGGTTCAGGACACAGCAGCTTTAGTAAGCTACTGTGTTACAATGACATCTTCACATAGCAGCTTTCGTAAGCTATTGTGTTATGATGACATCATCACAGAGCAGCTCGAGTAAGCTACTGTTATAATGACATCATCAACATAGTAGCTTTAGTAAGATACTGTGTTACAATGACATCTTCACATAGCAGCTTTCGTAAGCTATTCTGTTGTGATGACATCATCACAGAGCCGCTCCAGTAAGCTACTCTGTTATATCAGGGTGACATCTCCATCCTTCTGCACCAAGAACTCTTGGTCTCTCTGCCTCATCTACGGCTTTGATTTCTCTGGCCCTTGTAACTCTGCTCATCAGGTAGGAAGAAGCCCATTTCTGTGTATAGAGAGTGTGCGTGTGTAGGTCAGAAGACAACCTACAGAAGCCTCTCCTTCCACCTGGAGATAAACCTCAGGTCGCCAGGTTTGGTGGAAAGCACCTTTAATAGCTGGATGGCCTCACAGCCTCACCAGAACCTCAGGGAAATTGTGACATGTACATCCTCTGGGAGGACAAATCACTATATAGGATTTTTTTTCTGTAAAAGAGTCTGTCCTACATCCCTCTGGCTATTATTGTGTCTCTTAGTTATTGTTTTGGGGAATTCCTAAGTTTCTAATGCTTCACTGAGGAATGGCTTTAAAAGCAAATCAGAGGATAGGCCAGAATAATCATAAAAAGGAGGAGGCTGTTGGAAGGTGGTGGCATTTCTCAGTACTGAAGGAAAGCTCAGTTTCCCAAAGAGGATGGACTGTGGGCATCTTACCTGGTCAAGGAGCATGACTGAGGATTTGATGATTTCCCTCCACTTCTGGAGCTCGGTGTCGTGGTACTTCTGTTGGGATTCTAATAGCTGGGCCCATTCTGTCTGAGATTGGGGTAACCTGAGGGGTAGAAGAAGGGACCCAGCAGCTGGAGTTATGCTCAGTGGACTGGTCAGTGCTCTGACACCCCAAAGGACACAGAGTCATATCAGAGTGCTTTCACTTCTCCTCAAAATCCCAGGGTCCCAACTGCCCAGAAACTCTAAGGACAGATTTGTGGAGATGAACCACAGGCTCATCTCAGAGGGGTATCTTTGAGCACAGCCCATGGAGCAGTCTCAGACAGCTGTGTGACGATAAGGCGGAAACAAAGAGGTCACACCCATATTACCTTTCCTGGAGCCTGAGACCCTGCCAGGCAGTGAGGGTCTGCGTGGTGTATTCCAGCATCCACAGCTTGTAAAAGAGCATCATGTTAAGGATGACGAGCAGCACCAGACTGGGAGAGAGGCAGGGAAAAGCAAGGCCAGTGAGAGGGAATCTGGGCCAGGGATCTCCCCACCCACCTACCCACGAGGCCATGGGACTACCGGCTGGGCCAACCCAAGCATTACAGAGATGGATGAGGAAGCTGAAGGGGTGTGTAGCAATGGTTGGAGAGAGAAAAGCAACCTAGTCTACGGGGGTCAGTGACAGAACACGAGAGCCATGGAGAGGGATATAAGCAAACGTATTGAAGGCTCTGGAAGGGAATCCATAGGCATCCATAGATTCTGGGTGCCTGGGGGAAGATGGAAGAGGGGAAAGGGGAAAGCACTGAGGTAAAGGGAGGAATCGTAGAGCGGATACCTGAAACAGATCCTAATGGGAGCAAGGAAGAAAAATGGGGAGGAGGCAGAGGTTAGAAACAGGAGTGTGAGGAAGGAGGGGGGATGCACTTCAATGAAGACAGAGAGTGAGTGAGCATCTATGGGAAACGCACACACACAGACACACACACTTACACATACACAAAAAGCAATGGCACAATAGACGAAGAGGCCAGGCAAGGAAGGATGGAGGGAAACTCGCTGCGGACGCTTAACTTTCTATGGGTACTCAATCAAGAGACTGCCTCATCAACCCAAGCTCATGCGACACCTGAAGGGCCAGACTGAAGGAGGAACTGACACACCTCGCAGGTACTGGAACTTTCCTGAAGCTACAGTGTCTTCTCCCTGGACTTGGCACTGTCAGTGGGGATCAGAAGCAGGGGGAGCCGGGATGACAGGGGTGGGAGGTTGAAGGGTACCAGGGAAGCGGAGAGTCAAAGAAACTGGGGAAGATTCTCTTCTCTCCATCTCAGTGGCTGCCTAGGCCGTTCTGTGACAGAAGCTCATGGGATAGAAGGAAAGGCAGAGATGTAGAGAAGACCCAGAGACAGGAAGAGCTGGGGATAAAAGTCTTAGAACATCACTTAAAATATATATATATTTTAACTTCCTGAAGTCTCCCATATGTCCTGAAACTGTTTCCTCATGAGGGACATCGGGCTCAACATACTTGGGGTTGTTCTATAAATGGAAAGGAACAGAACCTTTAGCAGTAGGCCCATGTCAAGAGCTGGGTTCTCAATGTGAAAGGACTTAGGAGGAACAGGTACACAGAGGAAGAGAGAAGGTGGCCAAACTTGGAAGTCAATTCATAGGTGGAAAGGGGGTACCAGCAAAGGAAAGAAATTATACATGATTTAGACTGTGTGTCTTAGACCATTCAAAGTCAGTGTCTGAGAGTAATGTCTGAGGTCTTATTTCTCCAGCACTATGGATGCAAGTGTCCCTTCGTCTGTCAGCTGCAAGCCCCCAGGGCTACCCTACAGTGTTCATGCAAACATTCACTGCTACTGCCTAATGGTAGACAGCATACACCAAGTCATCTGAATGCCCACCCCCTCAACACGTGCTGCATACCATACCACCTTACATCTAGGTTTGTGTTCATGATCCTGAATGTTTTAAGTAAAGGTCATGTGCTGTCTGAGGGAAGACTCCCTGGTGTGCCGAACAGAGATAAAGAGGTGGGAGGCTGAGTCACCACACCCTAGGGCGGATGCTGGCAAGAGCCTGCCAGACACGTGTTGAGCTGTGCTGTGTCAGTGTGCTCTAAATGCAGGCTATCGCAAGCCCAGCCAGGGCTGCACTGTGTTGAGTCAGGAGGCCTGACTATTCGAAACTATTCGAAGCCACAGAGTTAGCTGATACCTCTGGGATTTGCCCATTTGAGTGGGCCTTCTCTATTTAGGTAAAATTGAGATGCAGAGCGCATGTAAAATATAGAACAAACCAAGGTTATCGTCTCTTATTTACCAGTGTCCAGTACCTGGTACTGATATGGTTTTATCAGACACGAATCCCATTACACTGGTGTTTGATGGATGAGATACTGTAGTTGTCTCTGTCTTCACTGTTATAATAATATCATGGCTTCTGATGCTATCCTATGTTTTTATGCTATGCCCTCAGGAGTAGCAAGAACTCTTCGTTTGTCTTCCATGTGGTTTTCCCCTATAAGGAGTCAACGGGGTAGTCTCCTGGCTACACTTCTGCCACACTAGGCATGGATGGTCTCATTTATACCCATGGCTTTACTCTGTCTTCTAAGGGTCAGGCCCATATTGGCAAAGGCCTGTCCCCCTCAGCTAGATAACCTGTTGCAACTCAGGCACTTTTGGATTTTGCCGTGTCTTCTCCGACAACTTTCAACTAAAGTCCAAATGTCTCTTGACGCAAGCACCAGTAGTCCCTCTCTGTAGGCAGGTGGACTTCCTGTGAGACGGAACTAAAGGGTAACTGAGCTTTCCACCTGTGATCGCTCCTCCGAGTTCCGTCTTCTCAGTCAGGTGGGCCCCCTGACGCAGATCACGCTAAGCACCCACTCTGCTTCCAGTGTTTCCCTGTCCATTCTCCTCTCTGCCGCAAGGCTGGTCCAAGGATGCTTCAGGGAGAGGTACAGAAGGGCAGAGAGAGCAAAACTGACCTAGAGGTGGTCTGGTGCCCAGTGTCCAGAAGGGAAAGCACACACGTAGGACTTGGCTGTGCTGCTCATGCACTGGTATCATCAACACTCTCCCAGATCATCCCCAGCCATGGGAGTAGGGACGGCAGGCTGTACGCTGAAGGCAAGGAGAAAAGCTGTCCTTAGCAGCTCTCAATGCCTCTTGTGCAATGGTCTGGCATGTCCTGGGCACTGATGACAAGGCCTCGCACACCAGACAGCTGCGTTCTCCTTTCTTGTGTCTTGTTTTCTCTTGGCTTCTCATCTTCCTAGCTCAGCTTGGTGTGGGAGCTATCGAACCTATGGTTTTATAATGCCGTGCTAATTATAAGTCATCTAGATTGAAAAAAGCATCTGCTCTCTCTGGACTGGAAGCATTGATTTTGTCTGGCTACCCTGTCAGTGAGGACTCTGCGTATGGCTCTCATGCTGGGCACAGGGCAGACACTCAAGAGGACCTCTTACAAATTAATGGACTCTTAAGACGTGCTGAAGCATCTCAACGTCAGTCAGCCTTTATCTTGAGGAGGGATTCTGAGTATCCTGCCTCTCTAACCCACTTGACACTGAGCTCCTAAAAGGCCTAGATACCGTGTACACCATTTTCCCCATAGAAGGCTAACACATAGGAAGTGTTGTGTAAGACGCAGAGAAACAGAAAGGATACCGATGGATTAGGATCCAGCAAAGACTAGAAGACAAAGGTATGCAGAGGCGGGAAGGGTAAAAGTAAGGGGAGGCTAATGCTTGGGAGATGAAGATGATTCTCCTGCACCAGGCAGGGGAAGGAGGGTGTTGGAGCCAGGGAGGGAGAAGAACCTGGAGTCTCTTACACACAGCTGATAACCAGGAGCAGCTTGGACACACTCTGTAGGTGAAAACCATCAGGAGTGTCCTCCGGGATATGCCGTGTCTGCGTGGAACCTGTGGGAGAGAATACATGTTATTTATTCTCTCCAAGTCCACAAGTCACCACACTGCAGACAGGACACCAGTCAAGCAAGACCACCAGGGAACTATGCGTCAGGCCAGCGGTGACCGTGTGATCCCATCGCCAGCTCTGCAACTTGAGGAGGTAAAGTCTGCAAGGTTGGGGCTTCCGTCAGATAGTTACTGAACAAACAAGAAAACATCGCTATGGACCTAGGCTATAGAGATATGACTGGCTGAAGACAGGCCAGGGGCAGCAGCTCCCAGTCCCGGCTTTATAATCAGCTACATGACGTCAAGGCAAGGCACGTAACTTCTCGGTCCATCTACTGAAGTGCGACGAGAATCACAAATGTTACATCTAAAATGCTAACGTTGGAGTGCTCCAGTTGAGGCTGCAGAGGGGAACTGCACGGGCAATAGTCGTCTTCTCCAGTTCCCCCACAGTTCTGATGAACTCACACGCACGTGCAAAGCACGGCTTGTAAAACACTTGGCACCACCAGACTCTAGGTTCCTTAGGGAGCCCCAGGTTTCCACAACCGAGAACATACATGAGAATTCAAAGGGTGGAGTGAGAAGAGGAAAACGTACAAGAGGAGTCCGAAGCCTGGACAGGCAGGCGCTTGGTGGGTCTGTGAGGGACAAGTGACACATTCTACTCAGGGTGTAAATCAAGTGCGCATCCACGTGCCAGGACAGAGGCACGCAGCTTCATCCCACGGTCCCAATTTACACAACCGTTCCCACCTGCAACATACCTGCCACGTGCTTGATCCTGTGGCCCACATCTTCATCCGTGGGCGTGGTGACAGGACTCATCACCTCTTCCAGGTGAGGTACCCGCAGGTGGGCATGGGGACGCTTCCTCCTCCTCACTGCTGAAGACTTATTGGCCTTCTCCTTGGGTGACTGTCTGTGTATTTCGGCCAAGTAGGTACTCTCTGTTTTCGTTAGCTCAGTCTCTGTCAGACACAAAGGGGCCACGTCAGAGGTCGACGGCTTTAACCCAACATGCTGTCTACTAGATTAGGCTTTCCGCTAGTACCATATTCCTACTGCATACTCTGGGAGGCTGGCCCAGTGGGAAGACGACCCTTGGAAAGGCCTATGCCAAGTATTTTGGGAGCCAAGTCTTGCTTAGGACCACGTTCCCAACCTCTGCACCTCCATGTGTATAATTTACGGCATACCACACACTTGCTAAAACACATGCCCTCAGATCTTTCTGACGCATCACGACATCTCAGGTGAAATCACAGCCCCTCACATTAGTGATCTCAAAGCTACAGACAGGTCGTCTCTTGAAAGACACAACCACAGACATAGCAAACTTGATGCTCATTTCAGGGGAAGAATTAGGAACCCGATGGAACTAATTCATGGTCTCAGATACCCCCTTATGCTCCATGCTTTCCATTCCCCCCAAATGGTGGCCAAGAGATGCACAGGCCAGCAGGGAAAAGTTTCCATTTAGATGACTGTGGCACCCACCTAAATGGCGGAAGTAGTCCTCCAGTCCACTCCAGAAGTTCTTCTCGATGAAAGTTTTCACAAACCCCCAGGGCTGTTTTCGATAGCGGAGCTCCGTGGAGACCCTGAGGAGCAGGGCGTTAAAGACATGATCAGTCACTCATACGGAGAAAACAGGTTTGGAAGCGTAGAAGACCAGAGTATGTTGCTTTGCTACTACTGCCTGGAACGTATGGGAGAGCGGGGCAGGTACAGTATATGCTCTACAGCCTACCAGCCAATCAAGAGAGAGTTTAGAAACTAAGGTCAAACCCTTTTAAGTCCAAGTAGGGACTCTAGGGCCTCATCACTTGCCACTTCAAGTGTCTTCTCGCCTGCCTTGTCTCCATGCTACACACAAGACCTCTCATCAACACTTCTCTGAGTATTGCACTCTACCCTTCCTCATGGAAGCCCTCTTCTCCGCCTCTTCCTAGGGTGTATGAGCATCTGTCAGTAACCTGCCCCAGCCCTCCCCCCATGGCCATGCTTGGAACCTCCCTACACTTCCCACCCGGCATCTGTTTTCCGAATAGAGGATGGACGAGCACCTCCTGCAAAGGTTTAACTGCCATCAACCATGATGGTTTTCAAATGGGTATGTGTGCTGATTTGATATCCTCCTCCTATGTACTCCTTCTAATGTGGTCCATATTTCTCCCTTCCTCTGAGTAGGCACCATCATCATCAGAGCTAACTATTCATTTGACTGTGGTAATGAGTAGGCCAAGTACAGAAAGCTGGTTGGATCAGGTCAAGATTCCTGCTTTCTAGGAGCTCACTGACAAACCATGGAAACAATAGGAAATCCCAACACATACGGCATGGAAGACAGTGAACAGGGTCCTATTGCTAAAGGCTAAGCTTCAGTACGCATGGGGGCCATGACTCTTGATCAAGTTACTCTTCTGATAAATGAGGGTAACTCCATCTTTGGGGGGCTTATTCTAAAAAGCCCAACTGATGTAGTTTAAAGTTCCTACATAGTTCCACAGAAAGCGTAGAAGACTAACAGTAGGACTTAGTAAAGATCTTCCAAAGAAGACGCGGAGTATTCCAAGGGACACAAGGTGGGGCAGGACGGGAAGGCAAGAAGTCTAAGAAGGCACCAGAGAGGACATACAAAAGAGAGAACTCCAGTTCTCCTTCTTGCCAAGGAGCAAACGGGCACTGTGTCATTTGAATGCCTCTTCCCACCTGCGCCCGCACAAGCCTTCACACAGCACACCTGAGTCTGCTCTTGTTCCGGGCCACTCTGGTGAGTGTGTAGCGATTGATGGTGTAGAAGTAGTCATGGTATGGCACATCGTGGGTGAGGACTTCGGCATCAATCACGTAGCACTCGCTCTCCTGACTCGCTTTGTACATGGTCTGTGGGTAGGAAAGCACCACAGATCAAAACCGACAAGAAGCCAAGTAGGATCACCGACTTTCCCAATGTCCCCGCCCCAGACTCCCAGATGGTCAATGCGATGTCACTGGAGTTGGCAGCATCTGAGCTAGTTGGGTGCTGCTGCCTTAAGATAAAACCAAGCCTAGATCCAGAGGTGTCTTCCCAAGTCCCACTTTTCATCCTTCATGATGCGACAGGATTTTCAAGCACACTCTCATTTGATTCTTTCTTCTCTCCACTCACCTGTGTCTCCCTGACAGTGGCCGTTTTGGGAGCCAGAGGATTAGTGAGGGTGATAGTGTAAAGAATCACTCGACTCTGGTTTCCATTCTCCTCCTTTTTCCATGGATGGAAGATGATATCTGAGGGGTGACACAAGGTCTAGAGTGAGAAGGGAGGGAGAGCAGAAAACACTGCTTGTCTGAATCTACCCTCTGATGAACTCCTTCCTCACTCCGTGCTAACTCCTGACTGCTACCCCCCTCCCTTTGAAGCCAACGAGAGTTTGAAAGCTGGGGGAAGCGGTGACAAGGAGGTGGGGTTGGAGCAGAAAGAGGCCCATTGTGGCATTGCCGAAATTCTACACAGAGCTCCAGAATACTGATTGTTCCGAGGCTGGGGCAGGAGGTCTTGGGGCCACCTGCGGGGGTGCAGGCAACATTGAAGTTACTGTGGTAAGGCCATTGGATCCCTAGGGAGTGTGACCCACCCCATGGCCTCAAGGTGCCTCTCTTTCAGAGGGTGCCCTGTTGCCTAGAGCTTTTGCCCCAAGGGGATGACTGGCATCTTCTGCCATGTTATTTCCTTGCTGTGGGAAAAACTGGAGTGAGACAAAGGATGCAGGAGCTGCCAGGGTGCTAGATATGAATCTTCACTCAGCCCTTCTAGGCTACGTTATACAGGCAGATAAATATAGCCTGGAGTTCAGATGCCTAACACGTTAGTGCCAGGAACCCCAAGACCCACACAAGGCACAGCTAAGGATTGAATGAGCCAACGCAGCACACTCATACAGAAGGTTCCTCCAAAGGAGAACAGCTGCCCTGTAGAAGACACTGAGCCCTGTTGGGACAGAGAGCTGACAGGGCCTGCTCACTGAGAAATCTTGGGAGTCTGTTGGACGGAGGGCATATAAAAACCTTCACTACTAGACACAGAGAGGGATAGAGTAACTTAGACCATCTTTGGCATCATCTAAGGGCAGAAAGAGGAGCCTGTGACACTAGGGTATAGGGACAGAGGTAGGAAAAAAGAAGGGGGAGGAGGAAGAGGAACAGTGGAGAAAAGGACAGTCAGGGAAGGACGAGCCCGCAGATCAGACCAGAGAAGCGCCGCTGCTCCATGAAGTCCCGCAGGAAGGGTGAGGTGGTGAATAGCAGGTCATAGAGTTTGTCCACGCTGAAGTTGAAGACCTCGTTCACATACTGTCTTCCACTCAGGTCCTCATAGAAGGCCTGGACCTCTCCTGTACAGAAAAGAGGATGAAGCAGACAGTGACAGAGGAGGACTGGAGGCTGAGGTGACATCCTGAAGCACCGATATCTCTGAGTCTGATGTGGCTGCTATCATCAACGGAAGGGTGACTGGGCTCATGGCTCACTGTGAATGCCTTTGCCTGCATCACTTCTCTTCTCTGAGACCTTAGCTGCTTGGTTTGGGGGACACTGAGATCCAGAAATTTGATTCTGACTCAAGACAGGAACTTGCGTTCATGTTGCAAAATGGAGAGGTGAAGGCAATTCTCTACACCAGTGTTCTGAGACTTACCTTCATCGTGGGTATCTGAAGAATCACTGAGCTCGGTAGGGATATCCTCATTGTCATTGAAGTCCAGTGAAGGTGAGGTCACGGGTGCAATAATATCAATCTTCTCCCCTATGATGTTGTCAATGGCAAGCTCCTTCTCTAGGGACCCGTCACCCTCCATCACCTCTTCCTCCAACGGCAAGCCATCAAACTGCAGTGGAAATCAAGAATAACCCACCAGGGTTCCGCTCTGTGGATCAACTCCAACAGGACACCAGCAACACAGCCTTAAAAGTCATCCCACTCCCAGCTATGCTGCTCAGGAGCTGGGCTAATGTTGGGTGCAGGGACTGTGCTGAGATGCACAGTAGAGGGTTACACAGAACCAACACTCATGCCATTCAAATGGCATGGTCTACAGGTGGCACTCCCATTCTAGGGCCTTTCTGGAGTTCCACTCCCACCACACTGCTACAAAGCCAGCCTGCCTGTTAACAATACCCTTTCCCTATGCAGCTCAGAGGGCTTCGGGGCATGTCTGGGGCTTCATTCTCCCATTGGCACCAGAAGGGAATCGATTCTAGTTTAACACTAATCTGAGCTGTGAAAAAATGAAGGCAAGCCATCAATGTCTTCATTCTAAGGCTGGTTAGCCTGGCCAAATGATAAAATAAAATGTTCCCTCTTCTGAGAGTCCTTTCCCAAGGCACCCAGCCTCTTCTTGCGGACATGTGCCCTGATCCTCTTTCTTCAGGAAAGTTCTGACTTCTTGTAACAGTGTTTCTGAAGAGAAAGGTTCTCGTGCACACTTTCATAGCCTCCGTAAATTCTACCATAGTGGGAAAATAAATTGCAAAGGAACTCAACAACTATTCATGACATAGATGAACAGGCAATTAACTGTCCTATAGTTCCATATTCATGTGTGATTTTGACTTTGGATCAAAGCAGGGGGTACATAGGAAACCAGGAAAGGTATTCAAAAGGAGAGGATGGCTTGGAGTATTCTACCAAGAGCTACAAACACTCTTAGAAGACTAAGAATACTTTTCATCTCATTTATCAAACCAAATCATCTAACCCAGGTGCTGAGAATCTAGCTCTGGACCTTTGGGATATACCATAACAGTAAGAGCTTATGAATTCCACGATGCTACCTTTGTCGTGGTGACCACAGTGCAACCACTTCCCACTGCCCTTCTTCCAAGTGGGGCTCTTGTGGGATTCATTAAGATGGGAAACACTGAACACGCTAATCAGGGACGGGGACTTGCCCAGAGTTTACCACCCATACCGAGACAGGGGCTTCGCTGCTTCCCGTAGACGTCAGTGTGCTGTTGGTGACAGACTTCTTGGGCAGCTGTGGGCTGGCGTCTGGCTTGGTCTCTATGCTGCTTTTGGATGAGCTGTCGTTCACTTCATTCTCTTCTATGGGAATCTCCTCACAGTAGCTGGAGAAGACACCCTTGTGAGCTCAGGTTAGTCTCTGTGGTGGAGGCCACCAGCTCATCTTAAAATGCAGGCCTGTCTGTCTATCTGAAACTATGGGCTTTTCTGCTTCTTTATGATTTTTGTACCAACCAACCACCTGCTCTGAGCCTCCTCCTCCTAAAGCTTCATTCCTATCTTATTCTATCTCTCCCTATCCTGAAACTTCTATCTGAAAATTGATTTTTTTTTTCTAGAACCTTCCTTAGATGTGTATCTACCTACACAGAACAATATCTCATCTTACTCTCTTCTGTTGGATCCCAGCCCCTCCCAATCATCTGAATCTAGCTTCTGGGCTCTGAGCAAATAGTTCCTGTCTCAAACATCAACTAAGACTGGACTCTGAGTACAGTGCCCCCTCACCAGTGCTATCTAGATTAAAGATCGTAACTAGCAAACTTCCCTTCATTGTACATCCTGAATGACGGTAGGTGTTGCTCTAGAGACACTTCAGGCCACGGTTGCAATCATTCGTCACCCATACAGCAGTTGCTGGCATTAACACCTGACTTGTACATTTAGTAGCATCTGCATATATTACAGCTCTGGGCAAATCATTATGTCCAATTTAGACATCAGCAAATAGAGTTTGACAGAGCTTAATACGACACCAGTGTTAATGCTGTACCAAGCCAAGGTCTAAGTGCTGTGCCCTCAATGGTCTTTCCTTGAGGAAAGACCATTACTTCTCTAGCTTCTCACAGCAACATCTAGTCTCCATACACCTAACTACTGGCAGTCAATAGACTCTCTCCATCTTTCTAACCTGCCTGCATTTCATACAGTGAGAGCCCCTACCCTTAACTTCCCACTCTTAGCTTCTAGTGTATGTGACTCTCTGCCTTTTTAGATGTCCTTTCAAGATCTTTCCCTGCTTCCTCTTCTTGGTGAGTGCTTCCAAGCCTAGACCTTGAATGTCCTTTATGTTCAGTTATTTAGAGGACTGAGCTAACACCATGGTTATCCACAAGTGACTCTGAAGTTTACAGCCCTAGCCCAGACATCCTCATGAACCCAAAACCTAACCTGAGAATCCTACACGATCTCTCTGCTTGGCTTCCAGCTATCCTCATCTGCTTAAAACCAATCTTCTAACCTCAGACTCTTCTGTCTACAATATCCTCCATCTGTTTTGGAACCACTCTATTCTTCCAAAGAGTTAAACCAGCAAACTTTAAATCAACCTGGGATTTGGTTCTGAGCTATCAGCAAACCCTTCAAAAATACATCAAGGAACTTTCATTTACTGGTAGATCTACTGCAACCATCCTGGTCCAAAACACCACCACCACATTATCATCTTGCAACCTTTGAACAGGTTCCCCCCGGTTCTCCACTTGAGTGTGTGTCTAAAACAGAAGACAGACTGGTCCTGTTTAGATATTAAGTCAGAAGTTATCAACTGTCTATTATAAACCTATCCATCTCTTTCTGCCTAAAGTCAATTGTCACATTGGCCAAAAGGCTACTTGTCTCTGCTCCCCTGACTCACTGGCTACATCTCTGACCACTTAAGATAGCCACATAGCCCAGTTACTTTTCCCTCTGCTAGAAGCACTGGTTCCCACCGTTTCCTGTAGGTTGCTACTCAGATGTCATTTTTCAAATGATGTCCTCATTGTCATTCTGATCCCCATGTCCTCTGGGAAGCTCACCCAGGGCCACACTCACCCCATCGTGTTGAAGTCATCGTCTGGAGGCACGTAGTCCTCATCATCACTGGTTAGGCCCAGCTCGTTCCCGTAGCACTGGTGGACAAAGTGCCAGAGCTCCTTGGGGCATAGGGGCTGCAGGAGGTAAGAGCCGTGATGAGCCGTGACGCTGATCCTCCCTCCCTCCAGTCCTGCCATCCTACACAGAAGCTCTAAGCCAGGCTGGCCCCTTGTGGGGAAAGAAGCCAAAGGGCTCTCTCCCCAAATGTATAGAGAGGGTGTCTCTATGACAACACCATCCATCTCAAATGTCCCAGTCCAATGCTAATCTCCTGCCTAAAGATGTAGATTCTGACAAAGCCAAGGACATGGACCTTTGTAGAGTGGGATTAACCAGCCCTTTGAGGCTCGAAAACACCCCATCTCTTGCTCTTCCTACTGACGAGGTCCAGCATTAAGTGGAAGAAACCCATGTAAATCTAGGGCCACACTTATCTCTGAATATCCATAGGTGCCCCTGACTCAGTCTTGCAACACCACAGAAGTTAAAAGTCATCCTAGTGGACCCTCTCCTGTCGACCTGAATATTCCTTTCTTTATTCTGAGGGGTGATCAATTTGTGTACAATGCTATGTACAATTTCCAGTGTTTCCTTATTGGGGGGTGGGGTAATGTCTATTTGTCTTCTTTAAAAACACTGTCCTAAGAGAAGCTAGTTTCCAGAGGGTATAATTTCCAGAGAGAAGCAAAGGAATGTCAAAGCTAAGATCATAGGAGGAGACCATGAGTGACTATTGATGGGAAAGAAGTGGAAAGGGGGGGGCACAAGTATGAGAAAAGGGAGACAAGAATGTAAGAAAAACAAACATTCAAGAATCTTTACAACAATAGATCTTCTCAATAATGGGAGAGGTCTCCAGACCCTTGAAGGAATGCTTTAGGTATCTAGGATACCCTCAGTCAGCTTTCTAGGTTTCTGACTTAGTAGAATCATCCACAGGGACGGTTGGGTCCTGTTTCTGGACCAGCAGGTATTAAGTGCTAGCTTTCCGAGATGACTAAGATCTTTTATCTAGATCTCCCCTCCTATCCCTTAGCCTTTGGGGACACTCTTCTCTTTGCCTGGGACACACCTGCCTTCTGTCAAAATGCTGCTCTAGCCTGTTCCATCATCATTCAGATTCCTCGCTCTCCCTGGGTAGTCCTGCCTGGCTCAGCTAGAATCCACATAGTGAGGACAAGCAGTTAGCACACCCTCACTAGACAACGTAAGAGTTATTTTGGAAGACAACCAAGATCTCTATCAGGGCCCTAGAGGTTCAAATTAGAAAAAAAAAAACTTGTAGATAAGAATTGATTTACTGGGTTTTCCCCAGATAACAATTAGCTTAGGCTAGAGTCAAGATAGGCACATACACATATTTAATACACTCATGTCAATTGCATGGCAACCTCGTTGAAGGTACATATTATATGTAGGGAGTTTTTCCTTATGTTTTTTTTTTCTCTAGCCTGGGTAGTCCTCCAACAACTGACAGCTTCAAAGCAGAAACTCTCTATGGACATGAGCTGTAATATTCCATCTGTATTTCCTTATAACCTAGCTCAAACACACCAGCTGTCAGTTGGTGGCTATCTTAACTGAGGTCTTTTTTTTTTTTTCTTTATTGTCAATTCTCTGAGACCTGGTGTCTTGTTGACCAGGGTGGACTCTCTCAGGATAAGCAAGTTCTTAGAAACAGCTCACATGTATGCAAAAATCCCCCTTCTTCAGCTTGACCAGCTACCTCTCTCAAGGCCAGGTACCCTAAAACTGGACGCTGAGAAATTACAGAGAATACTACCAGTGGCTAATCCCACACCTGCATCACTTGGCTTCCCTAGCTGATCTCAGGAGGTCACAGGAAAGGTTCTTGTCCATCCTTCTGCCCCTCTGCCTCCTGACCTATTGAAATGTGGTTGTCTGTTATGCTAAATTCTGGTTGCTCCCAGAGACCACATATAGACTCAGGTGATGCTATGGGACCTTGCCTCCCAAGTTATCCGGGATCTGTGAATAAGGATGCTGACAGCAAACAGCTGGGCAGGAGAGACATGGGTGGGGTTTAGGGTTCCCGGGGTTGGGGTTGGAGAACCATGAGGTAGAAAAAAGAAGGTGAAGAGAGGAGAAGGCACCATGAGGTAAGAATCTCCTAATATCCATGTGGGTTGGCTAACTGGCATTAAGAGCAGCCCAATGGAAACATGGCAAATTATATATTGGGATTATTGGCTGGGAAATAGATATAATAGCACAGAGGTCTTGTGCTGACTAAGGCTTATGATAAGTATAAAGGTCATGTGTGTCTTTTATCCAGGAACTAAATGGTCAAAGGCTGAGTAGAAACCCCGGGTTGAGAGGAAATATTTCTACAGCATGACCAGTCCCAGTAATTCTCCATGTGGCCTGGCACAACCTAACATGTCAGGCTTCATTTCTGGAGATCCTGTGGAGGGAAAACCTGCTTCCTTCACAACAGTCATTTCTATAGCTTCCTGCTTCGTTCTACTTGCCTACCCAAGCCCTGGAGACATGTAATGAATGCAGCAGAACTAAAGTACCTGAAGTCACAGGTGCCTGACTCTGGATAGGGCAGGGACAGTCTCACAAGAGAGCTGACTACGCTCAGGACTTGGGTCAAGATTACTAGAGGAAGGTTTCTAGAGCTCCTTTAGGGCTGTCCAATAGCACAATAAAAGCACACGTCCCAACTGGGACAATATCCAAGTGAGAAGAACATTATGGGTGGATGGCCTCCCAGCCTGAAGGACATAGCCAATTCCCCCTACCTATCATGTTTCTGTCTGTCTGTCTGTCTGTCTGTCTGATTTTCTATCTATCTATCTATCTATCTATCTATCTATCTATCTATCTATCTACCTACCTACCTATCTATCTATCTATCTATATCTACTGGAATGAAATTTAATATTTTGATCATATCCCTTCTCCCTGTTTCCATATCCTTCCCAGCTAAATCCTTGTACCCTCTCTTTTGCTCTGTCTAAAAAAAAAAATCAAAAGCTAAAATCAAAACAAACTACAGACACACACACACACACACACACACGTAAAAGAAGGAAAATCAAGAAGACAAAAAAAATATCAAAACAAAACCAGAAGCAAACATCAACAAACATGGAGTCTATTTTGTGTTGGCCAGCTATTCCTAGGCATGGAGCATGAAGTCTGAGGGCTGTGAATAGACCCAGTGACTCTCCAAGAACACCGATTTCCCCTTTCTTAGCAAGTATCAACTGAAACAAGCTTCCTGGCTCGAGGGGCTCTGGTCCACTTCCCCTCCAGGACTTACCTTTTCAAGGAGAGCATTCTGCCAGAGCCGGAACATCATCATGTACGTCCTATCCCGGGCTCCAAACGAAGTAAAAAAGTGCTAGATTAGAGCAGGAGGTGCAGAGAAACAGTGAGAATGGAAACATGGTTCTCTTCTCTCTCAGTCAAGTTCCTCAGTCTCAAGTGCAACTGACTGTCAGTCGTGCAAAACCTGTTAGCACACTGGGGACCTAGGTACTGAAGCCTCTCGGTGGCCACTGTAACCAAGACCTTCAATATTTTACTGACTTTCTTCTCTCTCTGTGTGTGTGTGTGTGTGTGTGTGTGTGTGTGTGTGTGTGTGTTTTAACTCTAGTTCTAAATTGCGTCCTCTAGAAGAGAAGTGTTCTGTGCTCACCAAGGAGAACTGGGCAAGCTTGGATACTACATAAGCAGAATGAGACACACCTACTGACCTACTGACCCACAACCTTCAGCTAAATCTACTGCAAAGGAAGGCTATCCGATACAGTCTATAGTCACATAGCCATAGGACTCAAAAATCAGGTGTTCTAGCTCAAAGTTCAAAGTTCTACCATGCTACCCTAACCCCTGCTCAGCCTTCAACCACACTCTGCTCACCCAGGGAGTATTTTCTAGAACAATTGTACCCCGCTTTACTGCCTGCCACTTCAAGTGCCTGCACTTATGGTGCATAGGTACAAGAGGCAGAAGCTGACCACACATACCTTTTCTGAATCAGTGCAGACTTGGATGGCGTTGGGAATGAGGCGAGCTGTCTTCTCTTTAGTCATGGAGCAGATATCTTTCAAACGGACTGTCAGCTGGCATCCCCATGGTAACAGAGCATGAGTAACAAGCAAAAGAGGGTATTAGTACAATTGGGCAAGGACTGCTTATGTGGCATTAGTAGTTGCCAGACAAAATCAAGTCACGGTTCTCATACCTCTGGGCCTGTAAGGGACCAGTTTAGAGATCGTATAGTTTATACCCTACGTCACAGAGGCCACTAAAGAACAACTGGGCCTTATCTCCAGCCACGGGTACCTAGATTCTACAACGTGCTACATAGGCAGAGGACCTGGCATTTTTCTGCTTATAAAAACACAGAATATTGGTGCTGGATGGTCTTATGCCATCTAAGTAATCTTTCTCCACCTTATTTTAAAAGATGAGGAGACAAAGGCAAAAATAAACCCACTAATTTAAAATCACAGTTAACAAAATTCTTCTGAGCCCTACAGCCAATGTCCTTCCTACTTCATTATGTCTCCTTCTGCTGTAACTCACACTGGATAGCTATCGACATTGGCCAAAGAAAAATGGTTTGCTTTGTTTTTTTGTTTTAGTTCATCTTTTTTTTTAATGCTGCCCTCCACGCCCAGGAGGTGGGAAAGATATAAATGGCAGAAGAGATGCCATTACTGGAACTCAGAATTGGGTACCCACTGTTCAGATATGGGTTTGTGTTAACAACATAAAAACATAGCTGGAAGATGATGTCCCACATTTGGGAGGCAGAGGCAGGCAGATCTCTGAGTTTGAGGCCAGCCTGGTCTATAGAGTGAGTTCCAGGACAGCCACGGCTATACAGAGAAACTCTGTCTATTAAGGGAGGGAACAGAGAACAGTATGCACACTATGTAAGCTTGGGAAGAACACAAAGTCAGCAAATGAGGAAAAAGAAGGCAGCTTGCTCTGTCATGGCCCAAGATGACGGCCCAAAGGAATAAGCCTGGGTCTTTTTCCTCTTTTCATTCTGCAGTTCTGGGGACCAAGCACAGGGAAGCCTTGCGCATGCTAGGTACGGAGTACCACCACTGAGATGCAGCGCCTGCATCCCACAAGATGCCCCACCAACCCGAGTCCAAGCTCTGTACCAGAGTTTCCCAGCGGAAGATGTTACTGTAGAAGCAGATCCAGTTTTCTGAGAGGTAGAGTCGGCCCTGAAGAAGAATGTCTCTTTGGAGTGCACAAGAGTAATCTGTGTAGGAAGCAGGATACGAAGTTCAGAGGCAGGAGACATTGTCAGCAAACCAGTGTACAGAAAGCATGCCATCCCTCCCTCCCTCCCTTCCTTTCTTTCTTCCTTCCTCCCTCCCTCCCTCCCTCCCTCCCTCCCTCCCTCCCTCCCTCCAGCACTGAGGGAGTCCAGACATCTGCTGCCCACTATGTGTGCAGCGACGTAAGTCTCTGACATCTCATGATCAGAACACACAAGAGCTGAAGAAAGAACCCTACAGCCTGGTGGCAGGATAATGAATCAGTACAACTACCAATGACGGGCAGGGTTTAAAAAAAAAAAGGGCCAGTGCTACTTCATTAATTTCCAATCTTTTACTACCATGACAGCAGCCTGTTCTTAGGAGTGGCCATTTGGAGAGCTTAAGTATCTCTCTGAATCCCTCCTGGGTGGGCTCTCAAGGATGCCACAGGCATGGCACTTGATCCTAAGATCTGGGACTTAAAAGATGTCTGTGTTACAGATGTTTATTCGCCATGTGGCCAGCTCCACCTGCTTGCTTGTGTTGGCTCGCAGCCTCTGGTCAGAAGCAGCCTGAGTGTTCTCTGGAACTCCCAGACTTCCTGGTTGGCCCCTTCCCAGGTTACTAGCTCACCAACAATGAGGCGCTCCGTGTCTGGAAGTTGCTTAAAGAGCTTTCTGAAGTCTTCATTTCGCTGCTTGTAAGTGGGGCTTAGCACCTGCAGGACAACAGCCAAGATGAGAGCCATGTACCCATGGACTGTAGGATTAGAGATTGTGGATGCTAGGGTAGAGGCTGGTGGATGCTTGTGTGTTGGCAAAGACAAAGAGATGAGCTCTCTTCCCATTCTCTCTGGGAGGCCAGGTTAAGAAAGAGGTGTGGCTACCCGGGCAGTGGTGGTGCACACCTTTAATCCCAGCACTTGGGAGGCAGAGGCAGGTGGATTTCTGAGTTCGAGGCTGGCCTGGTCTACAGAGTGAGTTCCAGGACAGCCAGGGCTACACAGAGAAACCCTGTCTCGAAAAACCAAACCAAAAAAAAAAAAAAAAGTCATGGAGAACTAGCACAGGGGAACAGGAGAAAGAGGATCTGGTCCTGAAAAACAGTTCTTGCAGTTTTGGTCAGTGAGAAACATGAAGCTGGGGTTCACATATATCCTAAAAAAAATCGAAAGCAATGAAGGGAACCTTCATTCCAGGGCCCATGATGACAGCTACCACTGCCCTGCTTTCTACCAGTTCCGTCTTGGCAGTGGAAAGGACCCTGAGGGCCAGGCTAGCTCTCAGCAGGACTTGGAAGAGGACTGGATCACTATGTACCTCTCAAAGTCTGTTATGCCTAACACAGTGAGCTAAAGACATGATTTTTTTTTTTTAAAGAAAAATCATAAAACATGTCACTAAGAAAAAAATTCCAGTAATGGGGAAAAAGTTATGACATTAAGAGCACATCTGGCACACAAGCGTAACGCTCCTTTCCCTAACCTAACCAAACCATCTACGAGGAAGCTAAGGCAAGAGAAAAGCCCCATACCCAAGGGCACACAACTGCTATAAAGTGACAAGCCCCAAGATGAGAGTATATTCTCCATAAACCCTAGAAGTCAGGAGAGGACCAGGGACTTGTACAGAACAGAGAACCAGATCTAAAACGATGCCGTCTATCCCTTGCAGGCAGGCTCACTCCCACAGACTCACTTAGCAAGCTCCCTTAGAAATCCCACCGGCCAGCCCAATAGCTGGGGATTTTGTCCTTTCAAAGCATATAGTCTTAAAAGTATGTTTTTTAAAGGGACAGGGAGCTGGAGAGATGGCTCAGCAGTTGACAGCACGGGTGGCCCTTCCAGAGGATCCAAGTTCAATTCCCAGCACCCACATGGCAGTTCACAGCTGTCTGTAACCCGAGTTCCAGAGAATCTGGCACCCTCATAGACACACATGCAGGCACACACAAGAGAAAGATAAATTAATCTTTTTAAAAAACACTTTTAAAATGAATGGAGAAGAAGGAGGAGGAGGAGGAGGAAGAGGAAGAGGAGGAGGAGGAGGGCAGCCACAGACGAATGACACTCAAGGATTACGCAAAGAGTGTACAACCAGCCAGTTGGATGGAATTCAAGACCAGCCTGGTCTACAGAGCAAGTTCCAGGACAGCCAGGGCTAAACAAAAAGTGTACAACCTAGGGAAAGCTACATGTGAGGACAGAGGCACATCTGCATTCTACCCGGCCATGTGCTGCCCTACTTACACACACACACACACACACACACACACGCACACACACGCACACACACACAGAGCTGTTGACCCTCTGCCAGGGACCCATGCCTGAGGAACAGATTGTCCTCCTGGCACTGTTGACATGTGGTTTCTGGCTTCTTACCCTCTCGCCCACTTTCCCAAGAATTCACAGACACGCGGCTGGTGAGGGGCTGATACGTCACATGTACGCGTTTCAGCTTTCTATGAAGCTAAATGACCCACATGGAAACGAAGTCTGGAGACTGCTCACATCTGAACCCAAGGCTGCCAGCCTGAACTCCAGCCTGTTACTCTGACTGAAGGAAGGGGAACATGAAGCAAGCTGGAGACTAAACTGTAAGTTCAGTTTAGGTCCATGCTAAGAGGGAGAAACCAGACAAGAGCTGAACGGAAGAAACATCTCATCAATCTGACTATAATTTGAATTTCAAGCTTGTATTCTTGACTTCTACATGTAATATGAGAGGCCCAGTTTCCTTTTCCCAAAGCACACCGTGCTATTGTATCATTTCAGACGTCCCAAATCACCTCCACGTGCTCGAACCAGGGTTCCTTGAACTGGAAGAAGCTATCTGGAATCCTAACTATCCTAGGATTTCTACAGCTGGGAAAGACCTGATATAACGATCCTCCAAGAATCACTAAACACTATGCAAATGCCCCCCCCCCCAGCCACCCAGCCTCTGAGACCACAATCCACACACAGGAAAACCCTTGCTTGACAACCTCGCTCATCTTCCTCATGGTTCCCGACTCACCTTCTAGACTACTGTAGAATGAATAAGCACCCAAGAGCAAGCACAAGCCCATCACATACATGCCACATGGGGTAGATATCATTATCCCAGTCCATACTTGCAGAACAGCAGGCAGAGGTTAAGCAACTTGCCTGGGGGATGTGGCAACCTAGTGGGAATGGAACAAGGGTCCTATCCATCTGCCGAAAAGAAACCAACAGGCTTCCCAATAAGCAGAACTCTGTCGTGGGAGGGGACAGTCACCTGCTTTAGGTCTCCCACTAGCTAGCCTCTCACATTCCTGGAGGAGTCTTTACAGAGTTCTTGCATGAGATGGACCCCGATCCTCTTTAAGGGTAACTGGGCACTCACTAGCCATCCTGATGCAGAGTTCCAAATTCCACCCATCGTGGCTTCTATCATATCTAATGAGAGCTCCGGAACCCACCGAGATGGAGACGCAGAAGTCTAGGTACAATCTCTCCCGAAAGCAAGCGGGAAAAGGCACTCAACTTTTGTGCTTATAGCAGTGTTGGGGCGGGGGAGGGGGAGAAGAGGAGATAAGGAAATCTTCCTTCTCTCACATTTGTACCTAACTGTTTTTATTCTACTGTCTGTTGATGTACATGGTAGGCCAGCCTCTCTGTACCAAAAGCACAGAGACACGTTGGATGGGCGCACTTGGCTTACAATCCTATGCCCCCTTCGATGCTCGGGAACCTAATCCTCTATACCCACTCCCTGTGTACTCTTAGAGTACCCTCTCCCAACGGTGAGGCAAGGCTCGCCTCTACAAACTGGCCAAAGAACACTGGCTCGAGGGGTTGTCAAATCTGTGGCTCTCAGTGGGGCCATGAAGGGGCATGAGAGAGTGCACAGAATAGTCAGAGGGACACAAGAGAATTCGGGTCACACACTCACGGCTGGGATCTTCTCAGATTCATGCAAGCAGTAGCATTCGGCACCAACAGGTGCATCAGCAAGACTCTTCAAGTACCACAGCAGAGACTGGCTGTCCAGTTCCAGCAGGAGGCTCCAGAGGACCCCAGATTCTGTCAGAGATTCCATCATCCCCAGCCAATGTCCCAGGCAACGGACCTCGGGTCCTTTTGCTGATTCTCAGGTTCCCTCAGAATGAAAACACTTGAGTCTTGCCTGGACTGAACACAAGGTGATCTCTTGCCTTCTACACAGAGGGTCTATATAACCCTGGCTGATAGCCTTTCCTGTCTCTGAGCTGTGCTCCCAGTTCAAGCTCTCACGAGTGAAAAGATATACATGGTTCTCAGAGAAGGCTGCCTGGCCAGGCTCCCACAGCTGGACTCTGTCTGCTTCATGCTTCCCTTGTCTTCAGTCTGGGGGCAGCCCCGATGGGGTGTGGTCAGGCAACACTCCCTGGTTGGTGCAGTCACTCAAGAGTCCAGGTGAGACCAGGCGACATAGATATACTAGGTACGCAACACAGGCTGCGAGTTGCGGAAGTGTAGCCCCACGTGAACAGGCAAACTTTGCAAAGCAGGATGACCCCACAGCTGGCTCCAGAGGCCTACTCCACACTGGCTACTCACACTCAAGAGTGACTCACAAGTGGTTCAGGAGCTCCAAAGAGGCCCATGATGGCCCAGATCCTTAGTCCAGATCTGCCTCACAGATTGGCCTGCTCAGTCAGTGTGCTTTCTATCCCCCGGGGCCACGCCAGGATCGCTGTGACTCACATCTCTCACCCAGGCTAAAAGGGCCACCACTTAGCTGCAACACAGGCCCCGCTCTCATCCCAGCCCGGCACACACCCCTTTTTCCTCCAGACCGTGCCCCTTTCAGCTGGCCAGCAAATGACTTCTTTGTTAAGAGTCACTGTGGCCTGAGGGAGGGAGGGAGGGAGGGAGGGAGGGAGGCAGGGCTGGTGGGCGGGCAAGGCCAGAGCCCTACACATGCTTCAAGTTACAGGATCTGGGTGATGGGCCTGGCCAATGTCCTGCAGTAACCCCGGGCCTAGCCTGGCCTCACCAGCAGATGTTTCCTGCAATGGAAAGTTGCTGGCCAGGGCTCTCAGTGGAGGAAGGGAAGGGGAGATGCTAAGGGCATCACAGCTCTGGTGAAATATGAAATTTGAGACCGAATAGACTAGGGATTTCTTAAGAGTATAGCTCTCCTCTAAGGGACCTATCTATTCCGCAACTTCTCTGAGCCAACCAGCAGCACGCACGGGAATTTCCAATGTGCAGGCCCCAGAGAAGCTGGATAGATAGCCTGGGGAAGATGAGGTCGGCCTGGATGTGAGTTTCCCAAGACCTGTGCCCCATCTTCCATAGAAGGAGGCATAGGTTCAAAGCCAGGCATTTGTAGGCAGCTGCTCAGACCTTGAGGGCAAAATAGCATGAACAGACCTTGAGGACCCTGTTTAGAAGGAAAGAGACAGGTGAAAGAAAGAGACAACTGAAACGACATCTAAGCAGCAAGGGCTCTAGGCTAGTGGTTCTCAACCTGTGGGTCAAAACCCATTTCACGGGGGTCCCGTATCCAAGAGCCTACATATGAGATATTTGCATTACAAATCACAAGAGTAGTAAAACTATAGTTAGGAAGTAGCAACAACAACAAAATAATTTTATGGTTGCAGCATTAGGAAGGTTGAGAACCACTGGTCTAAACAGAGAGGTAGAGAAAGGACAGACAGCATTGGAACTGGGAAGGCAGAGACTCTAAGATCTGTGAAACA